ACTCTGCTTTTAATTGAGGTAGAATGTTTAAACTTGATGCAGATGTTCATTAGGTGAATGTCTTGTCCGAGTTCAATGATTAATATTTCGAGCTAAAGCTAAGCAGGGCTAATCAATTTCATTCGTCTATGCTTTGGGACAAGATAATCGTGATTCTACCTGAATTTTAAGTGATGAAACTGATTGTATAGATTGATTGCTCGATACTTTTGAAAAAAAAAATGTGTCATGTATTTATTTTGGGTTCTCGACGGGGGACATAGCCTCCCTTATGGCTTGTTTTTCTTCTTATGGCGATGCCTAGTATTCTGCTATTTCAAGTGTAGGGAATCTAGATTTGGAGACACAATACATGTTTGGTCTGGGTAATAGCTGCCCTCTATTATTTGACTTTAATCCCAAATTTCAAGACATTTGTTCTAACTTCTGACGCATTTGAGCATAATAATGCACCTGGGTCTGTAACTGGACAAAACATTGAATGTTTTATGCAAAGCTGTAACAAAATAGAGACTCAGTCTCAATGTGGCAAAATAAATTGTTTATTTATACATTGTGACGTTTGGAATGCTGACAGAAAAAGTTAATTCCAATACTAATAAAATTGTGTTATATATTGACAACCCCTGCATAAGTTATAAAATGATGGAATTCATTCCTTATTTTTCAGAATCTTGAAAGGGTATATGATGTATGATAACAACGAGAGAACCCAACCACACCTTTTGAATATTACACCATCAATTTAATTCTGGAAAAGAATGCATTTGACCCATTTTTTTTTTCATTTTTTTGTGTTTAATGTTAAATATATCCGAACACAATTATATTTTAATTCTCTCCAGGAATTTGTGTATAATATAGAAGGTAGAATTTGGTCGGAAATCTAATAGACATTTCTAAAAACAAAATGTAGATCAAATATTACAGAATTACAAAAAAACCTTTACATTGCTTATGAGATCAAATAGGTTTTAATATCTTAGTTTTCTGTGGTATTAATTCTGCCCTACAACCTACTCTTATATCAAATATCAAATATTTCAACTGTCAAGGGTTCTTTTAATGGAACCCAGTGGGGGAGGCGAATGGTTAACACGCGCACATTGGATCAGAACGTCTGTCATTGAGTCAAATAATTTAATTGTCACAGGTTCTTTAAAGTGAACGCAGTGGGGGTGGTTTTGATCCGGGCTTGTACCCAATTGACCCAGCTTGTGTCGAGTGAACGCTTAACCTCATTTCTCGCTCCCTCTTTAAAATGCATGGCAATGTGTATATGAGACCTAGGTTTATTGTCCTATCCGAACGACTATATATTGTCCCTATTCCATGTCCTACACTACTTACATGGGGGAACTATACTGGGAAATCCAGTTGAAATTTCTCGGCCAAAGCCTTATACTCACTGTGCCCCCCCCCCCCCCCGCTTATGACTTGTAATTGTATATAAATATTTTGTACATATTATTTAATATTTGCCATTTCCTCTGATATTTTTATATTTTAATCCTGTAATCTTGATGCTTTGCTTCTTTTACGTACAAAATATTCATTTTTTTTTGTATTTCTTTTTAATGAGGAAAGGGTTCTACATCATTTTATTACTCCTGCAAAATAGTGCATTTTTCTTTTGTTAGTTTTCTGTGTAAGCTACTTATTTCTAGATGCCCCACAAATCACTTGTAACATGACTTTGTAGTACATTTCAATTTTTAAAAATTCAATTTAGTGCATAAATTATCTTATTAGAGCTTGGTTTGGATGTTATTAAATTTAGATATATTTGAATTATATATTTTCGGGTGTGGGGTAGGGATACTGTGTACATGTCTTTATATTTTCAGTACTTGTTTTAGGGTAAAGAAAAATTTAAATACCTATTTTATATTTTGTGATGGGGGGGGGGGGATTTTGTCATTATATAACACAATTTTATTAATATTATTTCTATTTTTCTGTTAACATTCCAAATATCTATTTAGTTTTGATTTGGTGGTATTAATTTATTTTTTCCTGTAATTTTATGAATAAATAATAATTTAACAAAAATAATTATTGATACCTCATTTATCAAACTTTACAGGTTAAACATAGCAAAAGGAGGGGTGCTGAATGGGAAAGGTTGCTATACTTGATAAAAATTGGGGGGAAATACAATACAAGTTTTTGTTGATGGTTATACACAAGTTTCAGAAATTTCAACACAAGTTTCAGAAATTTCAACACATGTTTCGTAAATTTCAACACAAGTTATAGAAATTTCAACACAAGTATTGTGTAGATTTTCACACAAGTTTCAACAATTTTAACAAAAGTTTTGTGTTGTTTCGAATTGTGGGAGACTGGGAAACCCAACGTGCCATATAGTGACAGCACAGCGAATCATAACTCGGATTCAAATTTTTCAAAAATATGGATTTGGTACAATGATAGGCCTCTCTTCAATGACAAACTTTTTGAGAGCACGACTTTTTAGCATGAACATGTTCCAAGGTTACTTAAAATAGCTCTGACCCCATCCCTTGAAGATTCAGCCCAACGCTGTTGGACTGTATTATATGACGCGGCATTGTAGTCACCTCCCGTGTATTTCGCGTCATTTTAAAATCGCTTTGTTGTCAGAAATGTCAAATGCGGATACATGTACTTTACCATGATACTGCGTTCGGTTTTCTCAAATTTAAGAGTAAATGAGAGGATCATGCTTTTTGACAGCTATATATAGGAATTATATCACATTGATTTCATGTTTTGCATGTCAAACACACGCCAAGATACGTTTCTAGCAACATAAGCAGATTAGCTGAGTTTGGGACACCACTCGTATTACACAGATATTGAGACGGTCATTAGGGTTTTGGGATTCACGACTTCTAGATGAATTGTATATGAACTGGATAAAGAGCTAACAGCTCGCGCTATACTAGTAAAAAAAATAGACGATGAAAAGGGAATATATTAGAAATTTCAGTCAAATTGCTTTATTCTGAACGAAGTCATGAATGGGTGTAGTTTTGATAAGAATATAGCGTAGTCTCGATTTTCGTTGCTAACATTGTCACGAAAATAAACAAAATTTCGATTATCCATTGAACTTATTAAATAGCGTCAGTGTCCGATAAAAATCACCACCATCCGAGTATCTAGATAGTTAATTGTTACTTAGCAAATGAATAAATGTCTCATTAACATTTTAGTCGAAACGAAAGACCCGCAATAGGCAGATTTAGCTCTTCCGAGATGTTTTGCATTTATGAGAAAAAAATAACAACAGTATAACACAGTTTCCTTCAACTTTAGGTAATTTACACCCAAATACACCGTATAGATGAGTAATTTTATATAAAATATTTTGGTTCCATACAACGGGAACTGTCAATTGGCCCAAAATACTAATCAGAATTTCTTTAATATAGGATTATTCTTGATCTGATGTTGTGGGACAATCCACGACTACTTCGATGAAATGTTATTTTCTTTGTAAATTTAGGTCTGATTTGCCATACTTTAGATATCGAATCGAAAATAAGGCATTACCAATTGTCATTGCGCTAACTGAATTTTACAGAGATATTACATTGTTTAAAACTATGAGATATTACAGTTCTATTTTTACATATATAATTACAGACATATTAAGTATATTTATATTTAATAACAAGTATATTTATATTTAATAACAAGTATATTTATATTTAATAACAAGTATTTCTGTATAAAAGTCTTACTAACAGACTTAGTACACGGATCTAATAAAAGATGAGTAATATAAAAATAAATCTATCAGTAGGGAAAAGGTGTGGAGGAGGTTCTAAAGATCTGTTAATTCTTAAACAAAAATTGCCATATATTTCTATATAGTTCCGGAGATATTTCTATCTCCAGTTTAGAATGTTCTGTTAAGAAGCTTTCATGTTTATTTATATTTAGTGTTCCTTTTCATAAGCTAGCCCGATGTATATAGACCTTTTTAAAAATAACTACATGATTAATGAAGACACTTATATTTATCTTTGTATCTAAAAACAGTATTAAAACGATTCCGTATTATTAGTGAGAATGAACATGAATATATCAAAAAGAGGTGTCCCACAGTTTCTATATTAGAATCGCCGGAGGTACATAGTGTATTATTTACTTTTTTAGTTTTGAATAATTTATCATTTGCGAATATAATCCTATGGAAATATGTGTATATAAAGCATCTCAGTTTTTTTACTAAGACAAAGTATTTATTATTTTTTAATGTATTTTCTACGTTTAGATCGCTTAACTCAATATCTACAAAGTGTTCCCACTTCTCAGTGATTTTTGGTCTGCTAAACTTCGCATTTATCCGACTGTCATTATTTTGAATTAAAGTTTTAACTAGTCTTTATAAATACTATTTATATCTTCAAAGGGAGTTTTGTTACAATTAAACTTTTCATGTACTCTGAGCTTTCAACTTCACAGAAGTCCTTAACATACCTGAAGATACATTTATTATTCCATTTAAGATAATTTTGTGCATCTTCATAATATGTATTATCTATCTTCTATATTTTGTCAACGTTATTCACATCAGTATCGAATATCTTGCTTGGTATCTTTTGACTGCAACATAATTCCAAATGCAGGTTTGCTGCTTGTGTCGGGTGTGTTTCATTAAATAGTTAAATCCTAATTTCAAAGAAGGAATGTGGTCGCTGTTTCAGAAATGGAATGGGTTTTAACTAACCGGGATAATGAGCGAGACAAAATGGGTATAACGACCACAAATTGGGTCATTTTGGGACTAACACAGTGCACCTATTTCAGTAATTTGCTAGGAGTCTTTCCTACTTGAAAGAAAACGGAGAACACTAAAGGTTTGGAGGGCGACCTACCTCTTGTTAGGTGCAAGCATGGGATCGAAACTACCCATCATGAAACCGTCAACCAAAATAAACCACCATTGGATACGCCGGCAGTTTATCATGCGAAACAGAATTAATTACCCCGTTTCGTATTTTCAGGTGAACCAGATCCATGTTTAACATCATCTATATGGACTGATGGAGATGGTAGAAGTATTAATTGTCATGTAAATTATGATAAATGTGACAGATATATGGAACCAGGATGGCATCGTGTTCAATCAGAATCTGGTCAAAATCTCACCATGCCCACTTTTCCTGTACCAGTATATAGTTGTGGTACCAAGTATCCTATATGGTTAAAAGGTAAGATTATTATAAATGTACAAAGGGCGATAATTACAGATTTTTAAAATCATCATGCCAAAATCATGTATTGTAGATAATACCGTTTTCTTTACACTGAAATGCTGTACTAACGAAAGAATTAGATTGACATACAGTGCATTTCTGTACTATTGAAAGATTTCAATTGGACATAGAACCGAGAAAACAATTATTGGTTATATTTATTCAATTTTGATTTAGAATACCGAGTTTGTATTGTAATATTTGTCACTGTGCAAAGCAAACCATCCATGTCTGCCAGATTGTTTTGTATTATATATCTATATATTTATAGGAGATCATCCAAGTTTATCAGATGATATTGTTGACCGTGTTGCTTGTGTAACATCTTTATCCTCGACCTGTCACGTCTCCTACCAAATAAGGATCAAGAATTGTCAAGATTTTATGGCTTATTACCTGGTAAAAGCTAAAGGATGCAACGAACGATATTGTTTTGGTACGGTGATGGTTATTATATATTTTCTGCGATTTGTTTAGGAAACAGTGCTGTATATGGTTAATAGATTAATTAAATCACTAGGGACAGCTACTTCACTAGTTTCAATTCAACCTACGTGGTAGCAATCCATAACAAGTGTCTAAAATGTGTAATTATTTTACAAGGTAATGCTGAAAGCTGTCCACAGCCAACAACCCAGGTACCAACTTCACTTTCTACAGAAGTCCAAGTTACAGACACGGGAGTTACAGGTAAATGGAGTTCATTGTATTATTTGCTTCTTTAGTTATCCAAATGCCAACATTCTTCTAGAATTTATGGGTGAAAGGGGTGCAACATAACACTGAAGAGTTGGTCCCCTCCTAGAAGCAGTCGGATACATCGATTAATCGTGATGGGTCTCTTAATTCAGAATATAACGGAACTAGGTTGATCGTTAAGAAATGGGCAACAGATCCTAACAGATGTTTGTCTAGAATGAAATGCTGCCCATGCGCCACATTTTAACGTAATTGGGAGTCACGATGTCTCAGTGAGTACATAGCTTACTAACACGGAAGTCCGAGGTTCGATCCCTTTTTTATCAAGAATTTCCCATCGGTATTGCTCAGCGTGGCGGGACCTAGTTATGATTCATGTGCAACAATTTCCTCGATTGGTAATTCAACCTGTTTATAAAATTATATAATTTCGATTTCAAATTCTCACCAAGTGGTGAATGTCTTGATTAGGATTGAAACTATGAAACCTGAATTATGCTTTTACTGAATTATGCCATTGTTGGAATTGTTTTATCAATACAGGAATCACTAAAAATTAAATGAACTATTGTGGGAAAATGTATCGACCATCTTTGTAACGTTACAAAATGTTTGAGATGTAGCGAAAATGTCACCAACCAACCACGTTAAACCGGGAGTTGGGTGGCCGAATCGTTAACGCGTGCATGTTTGACAATAAAGTCTGTCATTGAGTCAAGCGGCGTGGTTTCGATTCCCTCTTGTGCGTGACACGGACTTGGATCGCCTTCTAATCTCGTCGGTTTTTTCCGGGTCCTCTGGTTTCCCCCACTTCTAAAGACGGTACGGGCTAGCGAATGTTAACTATATGTTAATACCGAAATGACCTAGTATGTGTCGAATGGACGTTAAATGTAGGGGGGGGGGGCAAAACCCATTTACAAACATATGTCAAATAGGGATTCAATGTGGAAATGTCATCCCTGGTACCAAATGTGGTTCTAATCAGCCATTAAGTAGCTATAAATCTGGTTCATGATAGGTGTACCGGAACCATAGTCGGTCTATCTGCGATGCTTCAATCTACGATTTCTTGCCAATGGGTCCCTTTTCATTTATAACCTTATCTCAAAGCCCGTGATGGTCCAGAGGAATCGTGATGGTAGAGTATCGCCTGTGCCCAGAGAAAAATTAGATGTGTTTTTATCGCCTAATCTACACGATTCTTAGACTTCACCGCAGGTTTTAAGAAGTGAAAATCTTTTAGTGTTTATTCATCGTGCACACTTTTAATATTCCCGATCATAATGATATTGGGAATAGGTAATTGGATCAATGTTGACATGTCTGTGAAAGGTCCAACCCCGTCATTGTTGCGTTTAATATTTTATATCTCGAAAGATTCGATAGCATAAGAATATTTTAAATAGTCAATTTCCTTATACATCTCCACACAGAGACAAAGGTATCGCAACACCCCTGTCTGCCAGGAGTTGGTTAGATATGCTAGCTAGTGTACGTTCTGGGATGAATGAGCTGAACTGTAGGATTTCCTACTTACCTGTCTCAGCCATTGCTGTGTTGACCTGTTTCGTATTTCCAGGTGAACCAGACCCGTGTTTAACATCATCAGTATGGAATGACGGAGATGGTAGAAGTATTAATTGTCATGTGAATTATGATAAATGTGACAGATATATGGAACCAGGATGGTATCGTGTTCAATCAGAATCTGGTGAAAATCTCACCATGCCCACTTCTCCTGTACCAGTATATAGTTGTGGTACCAAGTATCCTATATGGTTAAATGGTAAGATTATTATAAATATATAAAGGGCGATCGTGATATAGATTTCTAAAATCATCTTGCCAAAATTATTTATTGGAGATAAACCGTTTTCTTTACAGTGAATTACTGTGCTATAGAAAGAATTCACTTCAAATGGACATATAACCAAGAAAACAAATTATTGGTTATATTTATTCAATTTTGATTTAGAATACCGAGTTTCTATTGTAATATTTGTTAATGTGCAAAGCAAACCATCCATGTCTGTCAGATTCTAGTGTATTTTACATCTATATATTTATAGGAGATCATCCAAGTTTATCAGATGATATTGTTGACCGTGTTGCATGTGTAACTTATTACAACTCGACCTGTCATGCCTCCTACCAAATAAGGATCAAGAATTGTCAAGATTTTATGGCTTATTACCTGGTAAAAGCTAAAGGATGCAACGAACGATATTGTTTTGGTACGGTGATGATTATTATATATTCTCTGAGATTTGTTTAGAAAACAGTGCTGTATATGGTTAATAGATTAATTAAACCAATAGAGACATGTAATTCACCATCTAATTAAAAGGCGATGGGGATTATAATATCACAGATAATTAGACTCGGTTACGAAGCCACAGAATATTCGCCGTCGTATGCTTTAGATTCATATTTCAAACGTATTTAAACTTTTACCATTCTCAAATACTTATTCGTTCGGTTGTAATATGTTAGTTATTGCTGAAATTCCTTCAATACTATAGAAAGAACAATACAATATGTGTTTGAAATAGGAAATAGAGTTATTTGTGGGTGGGACGATTTACTCAATATTACCCCAATACTAATGTATTACTTTAATTAATTCGCGGAAAATATACTTCAAATGCCGTTACAGAGTTCTCACTACTACAGTTGGCTTTCTCTGTTACATAAAACAATTAAATAATAACACAATACTACCAAATACTAATAAAATACTACCAAATATTGTCAAATAACAAAATAATATCGTCAATCAATATCATTTCTGCAACCAATTATCGACAATTTGCAGAAAATTATTAACGCCATGTCATGCCGTTGTATTCATTCAGATCAATAAGTTTATAAAATTACATAAATGAAAGTCCAAAGATTTTAATTTGAATAAACAATAGCGAATGAATTTGTGAAGGATTTTTTTAAATTAAGGGAATGAGATGATTAAATCAACCACAGCAGTTTCATATTTGCGAATAACGAACACCGAGCCAGTTTATTGAATACCGAACAATAAACTAGCTCGTTATTCACGAATACCGAACAACGAGCTACAAGCTAACTTCACGTCGCTAATAACGTTACAGACCCAGATATGACATGAGTAAATATGGTTATCTATGTACGATATATAAAATATAAGGAAATTGTTAGAGCTGGAGTGGACTGCAAATGCGCCTGTGAGTATGGTTGGCTCATGGATGCTTAAAGAAGTTAATGTTTTCAAGTAGTTTGGGGTCCACTTTACGTTGTTGTTGATCGTTGTTGATGGATGGGTAAGCCGGTTTTGTACTTCGGATATATTGTAGAAAGCACCATCGCATTCAGTTTTTCAAATATTTTTCAAGAAACCAAGATCGGAGGCATCCGTCCCTGTCTTAAGGGCATGCTTTGACATTTACATCACCAGTGCATTTCTTTTGTAGGAGACACCTATGAATGTAAGACAACGCCAAAATCAACAACATGGCCTATAACAACAAATACTGGTCCATTCGATGAATCAGCTACCTTTCGGGGTTCATACAAAGGTAAATATTTGCCGTCTAGCATTGACACTGTATCATCGATAGATGATTTGGATAGGATACAAGATAGTTTAACACCCACACTTGACACAGACTATCATTTCGAGACCAATAGGGTGTAATCTAATTTTAATATGTCGCTTGCGCTTTGGGGTCTTTAGATGTGAGGAAAAACCGATGGACCAAACTTCTTATCACGAACGATCAGGAGGATATCGAAACCATACCGCTTGACGGACCTTATGATCGTTAACCCAACAATATGTTTACTATTTCAGTTAGACCAGACCCTGTGCTGTATATTGCAATGGCTGTTGTGGTGATATTCCTAATCGGTTTTGCTGTGGCCATTTTGCTATACATCAAAAAGTGCAGGTACGTACTATGTATTTTTTATTCATATTCATGAAATCTTCGCTCTGGTCACAGTGTGTCGAGGGATCAAAGAATATTTATAAATATTAAACTTGTTTGTAAAACGGAGGTATTCGTCAGCGAAGCCGATAAACATTCAAGATTGTAATATATATATATATCACTAAACTAATGCTAAACACAGGCCCAGATATTGTTACGTGTAAGTAGCTGGGATTTCTAAGACGCTTAGACTTAGAGAAAAAAACATTTCCCCTCTATTTGAGACCCATCTGTAGAACAGTAATCTTTTTAGTCTATAGCCCAATACATTATGGCCGGGTAACAATAAATGTTTGTAATTCATTGGTTTTCTCGAAAAAAAACCAGTGCTACATGTACCCTCTCCGCCCCTGGAAAAAGGTAGAAAAACAATAAATACAAGAATATTTTTTTCTATTGCATATTATATTACAGCCAATGTTACAATTAAAAATTACAAATTAAAAAAGAAACTCTGTTTATATTTTTTCTACTTACAGGTCAAAAAATAAGGTGCATGTTCAAAAACAACTGTATAAAATATAATTCCTTTAAATGGCCTCTCTATTTACTTGAATATGTGATATCGAAGTTTTGCTGTTATATATAGACGTTGCTGCTATATATAGTGTGCTTTTGATGTTTATGCTTTTATGCTTAAAATATATTTATGAAATTATTGGAAGCTTTGATCTAGCTGTGGTTTCGAAAAACCTATATATTGCCATAGACTAGACCTTACTGATAGTTTTTATCCCACGTTTGGCGTGCAAAAGTTACATTTCCACCTCGCCTTCGAAACGAAATTGCATATTCAACTAACCTTAACCCTAACCCTGCACGTAACAGAAGAAGTTACCTCGCATTACACTCATACTAATACCTATAAAAGTAAATTTACCATATGACCACGGTATTTTGTACTCGGTTGTGTAGAATTTTATTTACAGGTTCAGCCTTTACAGTAAAGGATAGTTTATGTTTTTTATTTTCGAGAAATATTTGTGTAACGTTTGGAGTTGGCCCTTTTACAAAATCATAAAAAAATGGGATACATGTTCGCTTTTGTCCTCCACCTTTCGAAGAAAGCAGGGGACTATTAAAATGGGTCTGTCTTTCTGTAGGTCCGTCACACTTTTTGGGACACAATAACTCTCTTTCTAATTGAGCTAGAATGTTCAAACTTGGTGTAGGTGTTTATTAGGTCAGTGCCTTGACGGAGTTCTAAATACTAAATCAAAATGGGGTTTAACGTCCACTCGACACAAACTATGTCATTTCGGGACTAACATATGGTTTAATTTTATTTCAATAACTCGCTTGCGCGTAGGGGTCTTTTGCATTGGGAGGAAACCGGAGGACCCGAAGAAAACCCAAGAGGTTGGACAGGCGACCTTACACCTGGTCACGTACAACAGGGGATTCGAAACCACGCCAGTTGACTAAATGACAGGCCTTATGATGGAGCACGCACGTGCTAACCATTCGGCTATCCAACCCCCCCATTGGTCTGTGGTATTTTTCGCCACAAAAATTCCAAATGTTTTTCAAATCCTATCATCTTAAATTTGGAGTGCCCCAAGGAACAGTACTGGGACCGATACATTTCAATCTATATACATCTCCATTATCCCACTTGGATAATAGCGCCTAACAGACAGCGGTGTGTAATGGTGCTCACAAGATTTTGACCTTTTCTGTGTGTTTCATGTATAGGTTTGTGACAAATATTTGCGTGTAAATGCAACAAATTGTAAGGAATCATTTAGTTAAATAATTTTGAGAAAATTTTTGGGGAATTTTAAAAGTTATTGTTGAAATATTGTTTCAAATGAAAATAGTATTTTGATCAACTGGTGTAATGGAATTGCTGTTAAATCGTATTGTTCTCTTGCACTCATCAAAACACACATTGTTGTAAACAGAGAGGTGTGAAGGGAAACAAACAAAAGATCTTGGTCAAATCACTTTATATCTCTAAAGGTTAAGGATACATTATGTAAGATGTAGATAAAGAGCTAGCCATTCTTGCTATAATAGTTCAAAAATAGATAATGTAAAATGAATAATTTGAAAATTTCATTCAAATTACTCTATTGTGTGCGAAGATATTAGCCTGTGAAGGTTTGACAAGACGTGTGCAATAATTTCAACCACCGTACTTGTTGTGCGAAGCAAAGTCTAGCTCATCCATTTTTAGCTAGACTGTTCTAATCTATTTAATATTGAGAAATCCGATACCATAAAGGGTTGATTATGGCCTGGATAAGTTAATTAATGTCTAATCAATAATTTAGAAAACATTTCTGGCCCAAAGAAAGACCTACAATAGGCAGATTTAGCTCTTACATAATGTATGTTTAATCCATATGATTAAATACTAAATATTTACATAGTGAGCTTTCACAACTTAAATCAGTTCATTCATCATTTGATTTTGACAGTGTAAAGCGATTACATAATATATTTAAAAAGTTTATATCTGTCATAATTGGCAACAGACCTTATTACCCGTATGACATTCCTGCAATTCCTGTCAACTCTAATAATCGTATATCTGTTAAACCTAACCAAGCTAAGAAATCAAACAATCTTAAATTTGTCGGGACCAATGCCCGATCTGTCAGAAATAAGACACAACTCTTGTCTGAGTTTTTTTGTTTTATAGAACACCGTATTGACATTCTTGTCATCACAGAAACTTGGTTAACAGAAATTTAATCTACTATTATAAACGAACTGTGTGTAGATGGGTATATATTCATTAATAAACCGCGAATATCCTCTAGAGGTGGTGGTATATGCTTGTTGTACAATAGTACAATTAAGCTGAATGTGGAATATAATAATTTAACCAAAATACAGTCTTTTGAATATTGTTTGACACATTCTACGGATTTAACAGTTTTTATGTATTTTTAAAACAGGCTCCGAAGCGTTTTGGTTTTGTTATGCAAGATCATTTTCGACGTTCCAAAGTAAAAGTTCGGTGCTAAGACCACCTAAAGATAAATTTTAAATGTTCCTATTATTAATTAGAACAGGTTTCGCTTTAGTTTTTGTATTTTACGCTGACATTTGTTACTTTAAATCTTCTTCGTGCTAAAACGGAAAATGTGACTTTTTGACCTCTGGGGTCACAAAGAACAAAAGTGAATTTAGCAAGTTTACATTTTTATTGAATGTGTGATTACTTTCGATCATTTTCAGCTTATTTTCACGGTACAGGAATGACCGCGCATTCACTTTCTGTGCAAATGAACCCATTTGACTTTTGACCCCGAATATCTCGAAAACGCCCAAACGGCGGACTGATTACCACACGGCATCGTATTCTACGCAAAATTTTACTCTAGAAAAGTTGGGTCTGGTTTTGTGCCCATTTGATGGACCCCCCCCCCCCCCCCTCCGCGCTGGGCCTCCAGACTACATGGATAAACTGATACTTATCGTGTGATAGTTAGTGCCTGAGAGGTGGTGCTACTTATCGTTCTCTGCTATAGCTTTAATTACCATCAAATATTTGACAATTTATATTGTACCCAGATAGTTTTGCCTGCTGTCGTTTGATTGGTGACACATATCGTGTCCAGCTGTGTCTGGTGTTACTGTTAGTATATTGTCCCATGTTAGTTTCTACACTTTTTGGTTTTCAATCCGCAACTCAGGGTTTGCATACCCTTCTGTGCTATAAACACCAGTTAATCATCTTACTAATCACACTACATTCTGTATATTAACTTATTTGTACTATATCCAATATAAAATTTCAACTTATTACTTTTTTTATATTTTCTACCAGTATATAATCTATTATTACAATTTTCATCAATGTATTTATATTTTCGGTAAATAATTTCGTACGGGAGATGAATTTATATAAGCCCTGGCTTGTTTATAAATCCCATAATTATATATTGTATCTTTATAATATGTAAATATTTAATGAATAAAATGGTGTTAGAAAAAATATTCAGGTGTAGTGTAGGTATAATTGACATAATATAACAACAATAACATCGCATCAATTACCATTTTAGGGTCACGATAAGTTAACATTATATCGCCTGATTTCAGATGTGATGTTACTTAGTGAATACTTTCCACTCCAGTAAATCTCAAGGTTATTATATGGTATGAAGAAGCTTTTTTTTTTACAGCTGGTCGTCTCGTATCCTATTTTAAAGAAACCCAATACGCTCGTTTTCTCTAGTCCTATTTTAAAGAAACGTAAGGCGTTAAACCCCATTTCATTTACGGCCCATTTTTATACGCCCACATTTTTTGCCCGCATTTATACACCCACCTTGTTTGCCCGTCCAGGATTTATTTGTGAAAACTCTACAGGTTACAATTTTTATCCTATTTTGACGAAACTTGAAACATAGGTTTATCTCCAATTGATCTCGGTTCATGTCGCTATTGGCATGTATCGAACCGTAACTTCATGGATTATGGCCCCTGATTGAACGTAAAATCACATATTTAGCTTGTGGACGCTCTAGAGCTCACAATTTTTATCTGATTTTAAAAACCTGTGTTCCCACTATCTGACGTGGTGTCTCAGATTCCTGTGTGAAGGGATTCCGCACGTGCTGTCGCTCAACATGCCGGTCATGTCGAGACTTCCCAAGCGCCTATTTCCTCTGGGCTGTCGTGGCATGCTGCTGACGTTGTAGTATGAATGATTCAACCAGGTATGAGGGTGCAATTTATAGGGCTGGTCCCGGTGAACACCACTTGCAACATGAGTTACATGAAAATCATGGGGAACTCATTACCATCACAGAAGTGAGGTTGCGTTTTTGAGAACATTTCCTGGGTTCAATTCTGTGTTTGGGAAGGGGCCATATTGCTCAGGTAAAGTTGGAGATATGGTCACAAATATACAATAACAAGCCAACAGTGCGGGTGACGTCCCCCGCCCATATCCCCAAATAAATAGATGACACATATTAATTAATCGCACATCTATTTTGTCAAAAGTATCGAGCAATCAAACTGATTATCAACTATACACTAAGTTTCGTCACTCTTTATCAGATAGAATCAAAGTTATCTTGTCCCAAAGAATCGACCAAGGAAATTGCTTATCTCTGCTTAGCTTTATCTCGATATGTTAATCATTGAACTCAGTCAAGACGAACATCTACATCAAGTTTAAACATTCTACCTCAATTAGAAGCAGAGTTGTTATGTTCCAAAGTCTTGACCAATCAAAATGTTTATTGCTCCTTAGCCTAAGTAGACAATTCTCATCATCGAACTTAGTCAAGGTATTGATGCAATGAAACTATACACTAAGTTTCATCACCCTCACTTAATAAGAACTAAGAATTCGTGTCCCAAAGCATCAACCAATCAAATTTCTTTTTTCTACTTACGATAAGCAGAAAATGCTCATCTTCGCACTCTACCAAGGCATTGACCTAATAAACATCTACACCAAGTTTGAACATTTTAGCTCAATTAGAAAGAGAGTTATTGTGTTCCAAAGTCTCGGCCAATCAAATTGCTTATCGCTCTGCTTACCTTGAGCAAAAAATGCTCATTCTCGAACTTAGTTAAGGTATTGGTGTAATGAAACTATACACCAAGTTTCATCACTCTCACTTAATTAGAACTAAAGTTATCGTGTCCCAAAGCATCAACCAATCAAATTGCTTATCTATGCTTACCCTAAGCAGAAAATGCTCATCTTCGAACACCATCAAGGCATTGACCTAATAAACACCTACACCAAGCTTGAACATTCTAGGTCAATTTTGCTGCTAAGAATAGTTGGACAACGACCAGTGTTTAGTTGTTATAGTTGGACAAATGAAATGAAATGAAATGGGGTTTAATGTTCTGCACCTAACTAGGCTAATGAAGACGGGCATACGCCATACAGTGTGCTATGAAGGAAATAATGCCCGGACAGCGGCACTACGGCCTACTCTTATATCCAATGGATCTTTTACGTGCACGCCAATCTGTACACGGGACCTCGGTTTTTCTTCCCATCCGAACGACTGAACAGCTGTCCTTGTCAGGCCCTCCGTCCTGTATCACTGACAAGGGGGGACCACGCCGGAAAATCTGGATGAAGTTTCTCGGCCAATGCAAGGATCGAACACCCGACCTCGAGGCTAGCGAGCCAGCGTCTTACCCACTTAGCCACCGTGGCTCCCTATAGTTGGACAAGTAGCAGTGTCTAGTTGTTATAGCTGCAGTTATCTGGCAATATCTAATTATTCCCGGCTTAATCCAAGTAAGGAACAAACTAAGATTGGGTATATTATTTAGCATCTGATTACGAAAATCAAATCAATATCAACGATGGATAATTGGTTTAAAAGAGATCCATATTCACATTTTAATGTTATATATATTTTAATTGTAAAGAGCGCCCAGGAACACACTGCGCTAAACAATTATTATTTACCCCTTGAATTCGGAATTATCGACACGACACCCAGCACAATTTGTTTTTACAAAAACTGGTTAGACATTAATAACTCAAGGTGTGTGCAAGCTAGTAGAGCAATTGAAAAGGTGGGTAAAAAAATTCGTAGGGAGCTGCTCAACACAAACTATTTTCTACAAGTCCAATTTGTGATCATTGTTTAAATGAAAATATACTGTCATTAATCTAGACCATTAATCTAGAAACGGTAAAGAGAAGGGAGCTCAACATCATTTTAACTATTCCTGAACATTTCATAAAAATCAATCAAGAGTTGGAACTCTGTAGAGTAATGTACGTTTATCAGCTACTTTTGCTAAACCAATCGGGACCACCTTAATAATATCAAGAGGGGACCACGTGGCTAAGTGGGTAAGGCACTGGCTCGCTAGCCTGGAGGTCGGGTGTTCGATCCCTGCATTGGCCGAGAAAGTTCATCCAGATTTTCCGGCTTGGTTCCCCCATGTCAGTGATGCAGGATGGAGGGCCTGACAAGGACAGCTGTCTAGTCCTTCGGATGATACGAAAAACCGAGGTCCCGTGTATACATTGGAATGCACGTAAAAGATCCCTTGGCAGTTGGAATTCGATATAAGAGTAGGCGATAGTGCCGCTGCCCGGGCAAAATTTCCCTCATAGCACACTGTATGGCGTATGCCCGTCTTCATTAGCCCAGGTTAGGAGCAGAACAGTAGGACGTTAAACCCCATTTCATTTCATTTCATTTCTGTAAAATGAACACAAGAAAGTGTGAACGAATGGATAGACAGTGGCGAAGTAAGGCAACGTGTTATGTTACAGTACCTACCCCTCCCTCAAAATATATAGACAGGAATTTCTGGGCCATTCCTTATTTAAAAAAGACCTGTGATTGTAGAATATTAGGTTTCTTCACATTGTAGCTTTGAAAATAAAGTAGTATATAGTATGGGACAATTTGATCAGCCAAGACTTTGGTAGAATGTTTAAACTCGATGTAGATGTTAAACTCGGTGTAGCTGTTGATTAAGTGATTGTCGGGACTGAGCTCAATGAATAAAAATTTCCGACAAAGCTAAAGCAATTTCATTGGTCGATGTTTTGGGACAAGGTAACTTTGATTTTAACTGATGCAGTTTAGTGTAGAATTTCATTAACAGGTACTTTAAAAGCTTGACTGAGTTCGATCGTGAAAATTTTCTGCTTAGACTACGTATAAATAATCAGTTTATTTGTTCCACACTTTTCGAAAAGGTTATATTTACAATTAATTAATATGTGTCATTTATTTATTTTGTGATTGGAACTACTTATCATTAAACTAAGTCAAGCTATTGATATAATGAATCTATACTCCCGGTTGCATCGTTCTCACCCAATTATAACCACCAAAGTTCTCATGTTCCAAAGTCTCAACCAATCAAATTGCTTATCCCTGCTTCGCCTTTGTGGAAGATGCTCATGATCGAACACTGTCAAGGCATTCACCTAGTAGACACCTACACGGAGATTGAACATTCTACCGCAGTAAGGAGAGTTATTGTGTTCCAGAGTCTCGATCAATCAGACTGAATTATAGTCTCTACTTATCCTAAGCGGAAAATGCTGATCATGGCGCCTAGTCACGATAATGATATAATGAAACTATACCCGAAGTTTCACCACCCTTACGCAATCAAAGTTATCGAGCTCCAAAGTCTCGAACATTCACATGGTCAGAAAAGCAGAAAATGCTCATAATCGAACTTAATCTCAGTATTGATTCAATGAAACTATACACCACGTTTTATCACTCTCACTTAATTAAAACCAAAGTTATCATGTCCCAAAGCATCAATCAAATTGCTTAGCTTAGGCCGACAATGCCCATCTTCGAACTTTATCACGGCATTCACCTAATAAATACCTACACCAATATTCTAGCTCAATTAGATGGAAAGTTATTGTGTGACAGACAGACGGACGGACATGCTCATTTGAATAATCCCATGCTTTATTCGAAAGGTCGGGGGCAAATCAAATCATTATAGATTATGAACCTTTGATTAAGGAAGATCTCAATTTAGCCTTGTGGGAATTCTGTTAGTATGCCTTTACCTTATGTCAGGGAAAGCCCCCAGTGACGTATGTAAATCATCACTGGTGTTATATATATTAGATTGTTGGGTGCTATTACAGCTTAAAGGGGTGTCGCTAACCAACTCCACTTTTCTGCTTCGTATTGTCAAAATAACTTGCCGCAAATGGCAGTTTTTGGGCGTTTGTCCAAATTGATTTTTAAAGGTATTTCGTTCATAGAAGCACTTTATATTAATGTTTTGGAATTATGTATTAACTTTCACAATGCAGGGGAGGCGAAATATACCTTTAATGCCCTTAAACTGTCTATCGTCGATCTTCACTGAATCACGTGACATTAGCTCTTTATTGTTATCGTGAATCGCATATTGAATTGCATATGCGGGGCGTAAACTGAACTGTTTCCATGAATAGTAACAGTCCATGCTCGTATTTCATTTAGTCAACACGACAGACAGCGACATGGATACGTCTTGTAAGATATTTATATATTTTATAGGTTTAACAACATTATGGACAACGACAAACTGTTCTACTACAAAGGATGCAGGTAAGGTAGTACATTGTATCTACGGAAAATGGGAAACGTTTCTTGGGTGACGAACTCACAACAATGATAGACCAGTTATTAACGCACAGAAATCAGTTCCTAGATTTCTGAATTATCCAATATCTGCATCAGAAAACCAATTTGCCTGTAAGACTGAACAACATCAGAGGACCATTGCAAGTATTTTGTAATTATCCATTTCATTTATGAAAAGGAAAATCAATACCGTTACTGTTAATTTAGTTAAGTTCGGGGACGTGGTGGCACAGTGAGTAAGGCGCTTGCTAGCTAAACAGGGGGTCTCGGGTTCGCCGATAACGTTGCTCGGGATTTTCCGGTGCGGTTTCCCCCATGTCAGTGGGCAGACACTGGAGGAACCGTTGTATTTCGGAGAATATACAAAAATGATAAATCGTTGTATTTTAGAGTATATACAAATGATAAATCAGACTAACTAGAAAGCGGTGGTAAGTTTTCTGAGTAAACAATAGTAAAAACATATGAAATATGGTAAACAGTTCTAAATTAGATCGTTACTTGATCGAGTTCTGTATCTGTCATCCGTCGGTCCATCGAGAGTTTCTTGTGAACATTCTACAGATTAGTCTAGCCCATTTTGTTTTTGTTTGATTGTTGAACTTGTTGATGTTCGATACAATTATTTAATGATGCGGTTTTTTTATTTGGGGGGGGGGGGGGTTGTCCCCCGCTTTTCGAAGAAAGCAGGGGACTATTAAAATGGGTTCGCCCGTCTGTCTGTCTGTCCGTCCGTCTGTCCGTCACACTTTTTGGGACACAATAACTCTCTTTCTAATTGACCTAGAATGTTCAAACTTGGTGCAGGTGTTTATTAGGTCAATGCATTTTCTGCTTAGGGTAAGCAGAGATAAGCAATTTGATTGGTTGATGCTTTGGGACACGATAACTTTAGTTCTAATTAAGTGAGAGTGATGAAACTTGGTGTATAGTTTCATTACATATGTACCTTGACTGAGTTCGATAATGAACATTTTCTGCTCAGGGTAAGCAGAGCGATAAGCAATTTGATTGATTGAGACCTTGGAACACAATAACTCTCCTTCTAATTGAGGTAGAATGTTCAAACTTGGCGTAGGTGTCTATTAGGTGAATGTTTAAACTTGATGTAGATGTTCATTAGGTGAATGTTTAAACTTGATGTAGATGTTCATTAGGTGAATGTCTTGACTGAGTTCAATGATTAACATTTTGAGCTGACACTAAGCAGAGCTAATCGATTTCATTTGTCGATGGTTTGGGACAAGATTATCTTGATTTTATCTGATAGAGAGTGATGAAACTTAGTGTATGGTTTAATTGCTTGATAATTTTGAAAAAAATAAATGTGCGATTGATTAATATGTGTCATCTTTTTATTTTTGTATTTCGGCGGGGGACATCAGCCTCACTGTTGGCTTGTTTTTTTTTGTTTTTCTTTTTTAAGATATTCCGGATTTTATAACCGTACCCACTGTCACTTATGATCAAGTCACGTTGGCATATGTCACACAATTCCGATTCTTCTGCAACTTCATTGAATCAACAGACGAAGTATTATTTTATGAAGCACACTGGTACGTACCTATTGATACAATCATGTATAATACTAATGTGTATCCTACCATACATACGGTTTACAGTTCTCAAATATCTGTGCTTATAAAACTAAAAAATGTATTAGCCTGTTTCATCTGTAATAAACACGACGTTAATGGGCAAAGTTCTGTCGCACAACAGGCGCCTGTAACGTGGAAAATCTTTAAAAAATAACATTAAGCTATAACTATCTGTTACGTCCATGTTCACAAGCGAGATTATCAAATAACTGGTCTGATTCCGATTTGTAACTCCGCGGTAAATAACTCGTCTGAAACCGATTCTCTTTCAGTAGATAATACCAAGGTGAGAACGGACTGGATTAAAATATTTGGGATCAAAGTTCACTATTCTAGATTCCATCAACCAGTGACAATACTCACTAATTTTCGGTAGGTAGACAATCGAGTCTACGATGACGTTTAAAAAGTTACGTGGATAATTTTAAACTTTTGGCTAAATGTTGGCGATTTTATTTCTTATTTAGTTGATTTTAACCAATGACGTATATATTGTACCGGTTCTCAGTTCAGAGTCAATTAGTGTAGTTTCGTCATTTTATATGCCCACATTTTCATGTGGACGTATATTGTTTTCGTCCATATTCGCCCGTCCGTCCGTCCACAATTTTGTCCAACCTCGTGGGTTTTCTCCGGGTCCTCCGGTTTCCTCCCACTGCTAAAGACCCCTACGCGCAAGCGAATTATGTAAATAAAAAATTAAACCATATGTTAGTCCCGAAATTACCTAGTTTGTGTCGAGTGGACGTTAAACCCCATTTCTCTCTCTCTTCCCGTCCACAATTTGTTTGTGGACACTCCACAGGTCACAATTTTTATTCGATTTTGACGAATCAGCTTGAACTATAGGTTTATATCCCAAAAATCTCGGTTCCTTTCAAAATTGGCAAGTATCGGACAGTAACATCATGGATAATGGCCCCTGTTAGTACGAAAAATCATGTTTCGGGCATATGGACACTCTAAGAGGTCACAATTTTTATCCAATTTTGATGAAACTTAAAAAATGTATTTTTATAATCCCGAGATCTTGGTTCCTTTCGATATTCGCACATATCAGACCGTAACTTCCTGGATTATGGCCTCTGATTGTGTGAAAAATCGCGTTTTTAGCTTGTGGTCACTCTAGAAGTCATAATTTGTATTCGATCAAAACAACCGTTCGAATATATCACAGTTACTCCATAATGATGGTAGAATTCAAATTTTGTGAAAATCGGACCGAAACTACCTGACAAAATGGACGCTGCATGAACGCAAATAGTGTCCCATTTTGATGAAACTTAAAAATATATGTTTATATCCCAAAGATCTCGATTCCTTGGGATATTCGTGCATGTCAGACCATAACTTCTTGGATTGTGACTCCTGACTGCTCGAAATGAAATGAAATGAAATGAAATGGAGTTTAAAGTCCTACTGTTCTGCTCCGAACTGGGCTAATGACGACGGGCATACGTCATACAGAGTCCTATGAATTTTTACTCTGACATCGAATATGGAATTCCAACTGTCCGATTTCGATGAAACTTAAAATATATGTTTATATCCCAAAGATCTTAGTTCTTTTCGATATTCGCGCATATCAGACCATAACCTCCTGGATTATGGCCCCTGATTGTACGGAAAACAAAATTCAGCTTGTTCTCTATCCATCTCTTGCAAAATGTGGGCGTACCGTGCATGGCAACCGCTGGTTCTCTCTTTTAAACGCATTCTCGCGGCATGAGTTTATATGGTAAACCACCAATTTCTCCATTTTTCGAAAGCTAGTGCATTTATAAAAAATCAGCCGAAAATGGAACTGATAAATGTAACTGATATATTTGGAATTGTTTAGTTTCATTTCTCTCTGTCTGTCTCTTGTGAAAAAAATTAAAGGCTGTGCATGCGTACAAACGTTAAATTCAATCGTTATTTGTACGTACGGTAAAAAAAACGAAGAGCAAAATGATCAATTGTAATGTAAGCAAGAACCATAGCTCGTGTCACCAAGAGTTAACTCCCTTGATAATGGGCGCCGATGATATTGTGTCAGCAATTTAAAAGAACATGTTCAAATGGTTATATCCTCAAAAATCAAACTTCCATTGTTGATGTGCGAAGCTTTTATGGCAAGCCTTATCATATAATGTGAAAAAAGCCCCAAATATTATCTGTCTGTTGGATTTTCTTTGAGCCCTGAACCACTCTACATAAAAGCTTCAAACACTTTACAGGTCATATGTCTAGTTGTTGGTTGAAGGTTGAGTTATTGTGAGTTGTGTATGTATTGGGGGGGGGGGGCAATGCCATGAAAATAATGTAGCGCGTGAATCACATCTTTGGTTTAATTTTTGATACGGATTACAGCCTTTGCCTACCTTCTCCAGCTTTTGAAATGACAATATATTTGGTGTAAGGAGTGTTCGTTTGTCAGCCATACTACAAGGACAATATTCACCCATGTTGTTTAAAGGCAATTTGTAGCCGTGATAATTCTTATCCACCTCTACAATTGATACACTATTCGAGACTTTGAGCATGTAAAACTAGGTTCAACTGCAAAATTGTCAACACATATCATCACAGTTTGCATGGAAATAAGTAATTATGTTACAAATAGTTAAGAGTGGAACACTTAAATCATAATCTTATCATACCGAACAGTTTTTCTGTATTTTCGAGCGACATGAAACCACGTGATTCTGGTTCAGTGGCCATTTTAAAATGAACAAAAATACCGCATAGCAGTTGGGTTTAATCAAATCATAAAATTATACGGCAAGGTTTCACCTTTTATTTCAATGGGAATTGGTTTATTATCTGTTAAACTATGCACAGTCCTGTTTAGGGTCAGTGTAATTGGAAATTAAGGAAGTTTTAGGCCAGTAACGATTTTTGTACTCAAATGACTACAAACCTTGCTCAAAGGCAGGCCTTAGGACCGTCCACTACTGTGACTTGAGCATCAGTATTGGAACCATATCTACCATGTGTAGCACTATCGTCGTTGCGACATTGTTTTTAAATTTATAGACAAGGAATAGAGAAATAAGATGGGTTAAACAACATTTTTATCTTTACAAATTATTCTCTATTGTCAGTATATTAGCTATAGTATGAGTTTATTTAAAACGCAAATTAATTGTTTATGTCATAGCAGGGTGAGAATAACAGGAAAGAGGGTCTGAGTTCAAGGATAGATTGTGTCGAAAAACATGTGACGGAAAATTACGATTGCATCATTTGGCTTGTTAAACCAACCTCTATACTTATTTACATGATATTTGACCAATTAGATATACTATTCAAAAAAAGTAGGGGATATTTGATTTTGGGGGCATAATACTAAAATATGCAAATGACTACGAAAAAAGTCACTATAGAACCTAACAGAAGAAACATTTCCAGTTACATGTGACACCCAAACGCACCAATAGCTACCGCATGGAATGCAGGTGATGCTTGGGATCATCATGGGGGTCCAACCCAAGATTTGCACGACTCTGACTTTGAATGTTACAGTCATTGTGGCATTGAATTCCAGGGTGGAAACATCAGTTTAATTGTTTTAGTGACCAGAAAACAAATTTTGATATGCGTCGGCTTACCCAAAATGAAAGGTTACGTGCCCTTGGCATGCTACAGATCGGCACAACACAGACGGTTGTGGCGCGGACGATGAATGTTTCTCAGTCTGTCATAAGCAGGCTATGGTCCAGATACCGTGATACACAATCTGAACAGGACAGACCACGCTCAGGTCGACCAAGGGCGACAACTCAAGCTCAGGATCGATTTATCCGTACCTTGGCCTTGAGAAATCGTGTCATCACAGCAAATCAGATCAAACAGACACTGGTGTGAGAGTGAGTGGCCAGACGATTCGGAATCGACTGCATAGGGGTCACCTTCGCGCCCGACGTCCTCGCGTGATCCCTTGTTTGAGAGATCATCACATTCAGGCAAGACCTCGTTGGTGTAGGGATCGTCAACACTGGGATAATCGACGCTGGAGCAATGTGATGTTTTCATATGAGTCAAGGTTCACTGTTGATTTTTTGGACAGACGTAGGAGGGTGTGGCGTCGTCGAAACGAGCGCTACCAAGACGTTAACGGCATCAGACATGATCGATTTGGGGGTGGTTCTGTTATGGTGTGGGGAGGCATCACTGTTGCTGGAAGAACGGCTTTACATGTTGTTGCAGGGCGTGTTACAGGCCAGTACTACCGGGACAACATCTTGGCAGTCCATGTTGTGCCGTTCGCACGACATCATGGCCGCCGTTTCATCTTCCAGGATGACAACGCAAGATGTCACAGGGCCTGGATCGTTACAGGTTACCTCCAACAACAGAACATCACCACATTACCTTGGCCAGCACTGAGTCCCGACCTCTCTCCCATCGAGCATGTCTGGGACATGCTTGGACAGAGGTTACGTCAACGTCAACAACGTCCTGCCAATGTCCAAGAACCTGCTGCTGCGTTGCAACAGGAATGGGACAATCTGGACCAAAATGACCTTAGACGTCTCATTAGGAGTATGACACGTCGGATCAATGCTTGTTTGGCAAACAGAGGAGGATTTACCCGTTACTGACTTGGTTGTGATGCTGTGGTAACTTTGCTGTTTGACCCCGGGTATCATTTTACCCTTATAATGGTCAGTCTGTGCCTTACTTAGTCTAACGATCATTTGGAATAAATCGATGAATGTGAACTTCATTTCATTTTGTCATTTGTTTCTTCGTCAGTTTCATTAGGTGACTTTAATAACACTTAAAAATCAAATATCCCCTACTTTTTTTGAATAGTATATTTGAACGTCCAAAACCCACAGCTACAAAACTATCATACTTGTAAGAATTCGTCAGACTACCATTAGATTCCAGAGAGGTTCCATCTGAGTTCCTAGACAGCCGCGGTTTTAGCTAGTATTGTTATCTATTGTGCTTCTAGCCATATGTATTCGGCTATGCTATATAAAATGTAGAAGCGAACTGCTGCATTGTTATTCCTGGTAAGACAAACGTCTTAAGAAAACCAGTAAGAAGTAAATACACAACGTGAAGCAGAAGTAAAGACAGCTAGAGACAAATTCTAGACGAAAAATATTTGAATTTGCAAAATAAAAACATGGCAAGTCAGACGACATACAATCGTAGAGACAGGCTAGTCATAGACACATAGAATGACTCAAACTAAATAAAGAAAAATACAGCTATGAACTTATCAGTAGATACCAGTGAATACTCAATTGTTATCATGAAGTTTTTCGCATTTTCTTAGAGTGCCGATCAACATTCCGCGGCACACACATGAAGATCTCGCGGTACACATGTGTGCCGGGGCACACTGTTTGAGAATCACTGGACAAGCAGAATATTGCAGAAAAACAAATTGTGTGAGAAACGGGAATATCCAGTAGCGAAAACTTGATTCAGGGGGTCGGATTCCATAAAAAACCGTCCAGAAAATAAGTTATCTCAACAAATTGGTCACCAAGCTTCGGTCGCCGGGCTAATCAGGCCATTGATTCAGCATTAATATTTAATGGTTGTGCCCCAACTATGGATAGGGAGATGGGTGACTAGGTTGATCCTCGGGGTAAGTTGACCCACCCCCTCTCCAGCCTGTATGAGTAAAGATGCACGAATGAATGTGTCATCTATTAAATAGTCTAAACAATGACAGTTATTTGTGTAAGGAACAAGTCAATTTCATCACGATCCGAAAAAATAGCTACATACAAAAAAATATAAAATTTTAACCCAAAAGTTGATTTCTTGAAATCGGGTTTCTTGTTTTCTATTTCATTAATCGTGTAGATTTCCTTGAGAGACAAATTGGCATTTGATAACCACTATATATGGTTGTAAATCTAGCATGCTGGTTTGGTTTTGATGTGTAAAGATGCTGAGGCCTACATAATTTTAAAGTTCACCTCGGGGAAAGTTGTGCAATGTCTTACCCCGCTGATTTATCTGATGTTATTATGTGGTATCTTATTTTCAGTATTGATATATTTAAATCATATATTAGGCCTATGACGATGCGTTCATTTTCAATATTAGCTACAATTCAGTGCTGTTGGATCTATAGGGTAGTCATTATCCATGTTTTGTGGGTGCATGTGAATCTTATCATATATACATCATTGTAATGTCACATGACAAATTAAAACATCAGCACTATTTACATTGACTCGACCCAATTTAACCCACCCTCGGGGTAAGTTGTGCCATTTGACCAACCCCCCCCCCCCCCAACCCCCACGATTTTATTCCGGCATAGTAATTTGGCTGGATAATGGTTGTTAATTTTGAACAACTTCTTAGTAGTGAAACCAATTTTGACAGCAAATTATGGATATTTTGGACTCCAGAACTGTTTTTGAAGCAAGTGGCACAACTTACTCTCCTCCTATATTAAAATTATAACTGGAATGCGTTTCTTCAATTCTATAACATAATTTTGAAAGTTTGATAGGATTGGTTAAATACATTCCAATGTGTTGGTGTACAACCGCAAGGTCTGTGATAATTTTTCGGGGAACATGGTTTCTGATAGAAGAGGCCCTAGTAAAGATATTTGAAGTTTGTTACTTCGGAATACTAGAGTCCGAAATCTAAGATGGCGGCCAAAAATGGTCTGAAATAGAGTTTAACAAACATTATTGATGAAATAAATGGTGTGTGTAATCATCATTTTATACTTTTAGCGCCAATTTGTCACCATTTTGTATTTTGGCCTCCATTTTGGATCCACTGTTTGTGAGATTAATCGGAAACTGTCCAAATAATACCACTAAAAGCTATAAAATGATATATTACACCATTTCGCTGGTTTGGCGATGGTTTCTGATAGAAGGGAAGAAGCCTTGTTCCCAGAATGATCTTTTAACAAACTGGTAATCGTTCCAGCTAATTTTAACCGCAATTCCTGTGTTTTTATGCAGGTACGTGAACAACCGGTTTATATACAGTTCAACTTTAGTTGCTTATAATGACCCGGCCAATGAACGAGTATTAACAGAAGCTAAACTACGGGAACAGGGTGTGATGACGGTTGGCTTTGATGTAAGTTTGTATTATAATATATTTACAGCTACGAAATATGTAAAATACAACATAATTATAATTACAGTAATTCGCCAAAAAATCATTCTTTAAATTTGCTCTTAAATAAAACCATTATCTGGTCATATTAAATTCACAGATAACCCATCAACGGTAAAATCAATTTTATTTGATTTGCCATTGTTGACTCTTATAGTGTTTCTTTAAAGCACCGATTCCCATAAGATTTTTTGTTTCTTGTACCTTTGTATTACAATATATTATTTTTCCCCCAAGATTTATTGTGAAATTAGAGCAGGTAGACGCGTCAACGGAGCAGCAGGATTTCCATCTACCAGTAAACCAATATTTATTGGTATAGAGGTAAGTTCGAGTTGTGGTATATTACAGTAGGGAAAACATGTCCTGAATGTTATTGTTTGTTAAATACGGTCAGTTGTACAATATTTTATACCCGATGAAATATTAACTCAAGTGACGATTTCATTGAAATGCACGCGAAGGATAGCGTCTATATTTTAATAAATGAAATGAAATGGGGTTTAACGTCCTACTGTTCTGCTCCGACTGGGCTAATGAAGACATTTGCATATGAAAGTTGATGCTGTGCGAAAGTTGCTATGTAGAAAGCGTGAAGGACAAATGCGATGTGGCAGAGCGCAAATGTAAAATGTAATGAGAGAAATGTAAAATGTAGACACGTCAAAAAAAGCATTTTCCCACAAAACATTTGTCATTTAACATTTGACGTTTTACATTTAACTCTTGCCTTAGAGGTATTTTGAATTGATCATTATCGGTATTAGGACTTTGTACATTGTACCTTTTGCATATAATCAATGGAAACGACATTGTCGCAGAGCATTTAATATTGGCAGCGATACCCTTCCCTAATCCATAGGAATTTGATCCGAAGGTGATATCCTAATGGCGGTTTGTAAACGGTACCTTGCCTCGACCCATTCGCTATGCAAATGACGCATTGTTACTTTAATGAAATTAAATTGATACACCTTAAAGCTGAACTCCAATTACAAAACTACAAAAATAATTAAATGTTAACGCCCTAAACAATCGCCATACTTGTTTTCAAATTGTTGAAGAAACTGAGGCAGGCCACGTCCACATTCAGTATGTGCCTTGTCAACCACAGTGTCCACATCCGGCTAGCAATATTTCAACTACTTATTACCTCCTGACTGATTGACGTTTGACTAGTTGAAATATTGCTAGCCGGATGTGGACACTGTGGTTGACAAGGCATATACTGGGCGTGGCCTGCCTCTGTTTTTAAACTCCGTATAATCGCCATATTTGTTCTACAAAAACAGGTATGGCGAGTGTGTAGGGCGTTAACTTGTTTTTGTTTAATTATTTCTATAGTTTTGTAATCGGATTACACCGACTTGTGGCCTTGAGTAACCATGATTACATGAAAATTAAGTAGGTAAAGTTTTCATTCTACAAATATGGTCCCCTTCCTTAGTCTGTTGGGGGGATGGATGGCCGAATGGATAGCGCGTGCGCGATGCATCATAAGGTCTGTCTTTGAGTTAACTGGCGTGGTTTCGATTCCCCGGTTGTACGTTAAGGAGTAGAATCGCCTGTCCAACCTCATGGGTTTACTCCAGTTTCCTCCCACTGATAAAAAAAAAAACCTACGCGCGAACGAATTATTGAAATTAAATTGAACCGTAAGTAAGTCACGAAATGACCTAGTTTGTGTAGAGTGGACGTTAAACCCCATCTCTCTCTCTCTTTCTCTTTCTCTCTCTCTCTCTCTCTCTCTCTCTCTCTCTGGCTTCGGGTGGATATTCTGCAGCTTCCGAGGCTTATTTATATATTTCTGAACCACTAATATGACAAACTTGTACAAAATATACTTTACAGGTTTTGACGCCCACGGTTACCGTTAAAGAGGGTCAATCTGGCGAGATCCAGATTAGAGCTACAGCAAAGATTGGGTGTCCCGATGCACCATGTCGATATTATGTCACGGCCAATTTACCAACAGTCTCTAATACTTGCTCTCCAACAGTTCGTGCAGATACGGCTTGTGGGGTGGAAATTGATCCTAACAATTGGGCGCAGATTTACAAGATTAAAGTTACTGGTACAATCACTGAAGGTGAATATCGAGAACAGACCAATGTTATGAAAATCACACTTCGAACGGAAGACCATTACTTTGAACACCCAATATGGGGAAATTATATTTTACCCCCGGTTACGGTAAGTCCGTGCATGTTACATTTCAAGTGGGATATGGGATTTAACGTCCTACTTTTCGGCACCCACTGGGCTAATAAGGATGGGCACACACCGTGAAATGTGTTATGAGGGACATTTTGCCCTTTCCGGTCCTTCGTCCTACACCAATGACAAGGGGTGAACCACGCTGGAAAATCCCGATGACCTTTCTCTGCCAAAACAGAGATCAAGACGGGACCTCCAGGTTTTCTGAGCCAACGTCTTATTCATTACATCACCGCGGCTCCTGTAGATCTAGATAAGTCAGTCAAACAGAAACATGTTTATTTGAAGAGTCGTGATATTTAGAAATTTCTAGTTAACTTCTTGCATCTGAACACTTTTATTCCGTAAAAGTAAATTTTCCGTTCTTCAAGTATGCCCCTAACATGGAAACATATTTTAGACATATTTAAAAAGTGTTAATTTCATCTCTTTGTTAATGGGGTCTTTTAAAATTGGTATGGGTTGCTAATTTATCGCGGAGTTATCACCACTGACATCAATCCGTTATCTCAGTAAGAGTTTTAGATTTGTTATTATAACTTGCTGTAGATCTACTGACCAGATCATTAAATTATTGGGGGTTGGGGGGGGGGGGTGGATGGCCGAATGGTTAGCACGTGCGCGCTGTATCACTAGGACTGTCATTGAGTCAACTGGTGTGGTTTCAATTCCCCGGTTGTACGTAACAAGGAGTAGGGTTGCCTGTCCAACCTCGTGGGTTTTCTTCGGGTCCCCCGGTTTCCTCCCACTGCTGAAGGCCCCTACGCGCAAGCTAATTATTGAAATAAAATTAAACCATATGTTAGTCCCGTAATGACCTACTTTGTGTCGAGTGGACGTTAAGCCCATCTCTCTCTCTAACCCTCTCTCATTAAATTATTGAAAAAAGTAATTGGATGTATCTAAGATGTATTTAACACCATGTCAACAATGTACTTTTCGGCATCCATCTGCTGTTTCATACCAACTAGGGATTAATTTTTGTTGCCTTTTTTTTAGGTGAATGTAATAAAAGATACTAAGGCTATAGAATCACGACATTGCACTGTATTTAACGGAGGATATGTTATGACTTTCGGTCGCAGGTAACGTTTTATAATAATGATTAGGTACCTAGATGTATTGTCGTCACCTCACTTTACCATTTCTTGTCCGCCGATCTGTTCACATCCCCGTCTTTCGGTGTTAATGAGCGCATAATAAGTTGATGAAAACGCGCACGCAGCAATTAATCATTAAAACTTAAACATACACTAACTATGCAAGAGCTAAATCAATCTGCCTATTGCAGGTCTTTCTTTAGGCCTGAAATGTTATATAAACTCTTAATTAGACATTTATTAACAAAACAAGACCATAATCGACTCTCGACAGCATCGGATACTTGAGATTTTAACTAGATTAAAACGGTTCGCCATTTAAAAATTTAATTTAAAAATGGGAAAGCTAGGCTAAATCCTGATTATACCAGTGCCCTGGTTACCACTGTGCACACATCTTGTCAAAACTACAAACTTCAAATGAAGTAATTTGAATGAAATTTTCAATATGTTCTTTTTTCACCATCTATTTCTGCAAGAATGACCAACTCTTTATTAAACTCTTAACTAATGTATCTGTAATACCAGTGGCACATTCAAGATGACGAGTTGACGATGGTTATCCTATTATGAGTTTTATTCACTTCGATCGCCTTAATAACAGAAAAACAATGTAACCGTAAAAATCAAAGTCACTATTTTGTACAGTTTGTTTAACAGATAATACAAAATATCATTTCAACATTACAAAATCAAATAATACTTATACTAGGTTCCCAGTATCGTGGTTTTAATCGTGGGGTAATCACGGTGATCCTATCAAGTCTTATCATCTGATCATATGTTGAGGCCAGTCGTAGCATTCGTATTGATCGGATCGAATCGTATCCGAACGCATCTGCACGTAACAGACTGTGGACTTAATAGGGACAATCTAAATTATTAATTTAAAAATACTTGTGGCCCCGAAATATACATCAATACCAGTGTGAATATACAACGATTCTTGGGACACTCACGGGTAACTGCCTTAAATTAGTAAGATATTGTCATATTTGATAGTATATACAGGGAATTCTTTATTTGCTCGGTGGGATTTATTTAACGATGTGTTCATAGTCCGCGTTTGTATACGCCCGTATTTAATGTGTCTGTCGCCCGTGTTTGTCGGTCAGACATTTCTTGTGAACCTTATACACTCTTCCAGCTCTTGTGTGATTTGTTAAAACTTAAAGATACATTATGGGAGATTAGATAAAGAGCTGACAGTTCTCGCTAATAGTTAAAAATTAGATAATGTAAAGGTAATTTGTTGAAAATTTCAGTCAAATTGGTCCACTATGAACCGAGATATCAGCCTTGTAAATTTCCGCCTAGCCTCGTTCATCATTACTAAAGTTAGTACGTTAAAAAGCATAGTCTTGATTATCCATTGTTTTGATTTAAATATCAATGAGCGTTTGCAGCATATAAAATTCTAATCCAATCACAGACAGCTTTATGGATGACATTCACTAGGTTTATTAACTGCAAGGTTTCAATGAGGTCACTCTCACCGTTATCAAGCAATGATACAATCAACATGTTACAGAAGGTTATATACAAACAGATAACAATGAACTAATTAACAAAATAAGGCCGAAGCCATTCAAAGTCTTACCTAAGTAAACTATTATAATCAATGAGAAACCCTTAAAGGGGGGGATGTAATGTACAAATCCATGCTAAAACAACAACTGATCATAATTAAACCCTTAATTTCCATATTGCAAATAAAGATTACAAAATTTTAAAAATAAAGATTAAATTATTTAAAAACAACCTATGAATGAGAAACCATGTTATTGTTGATACCTTTAATCACCCTCTCCATTAGACAACAAGATGTTACCAATCACAAATATTATAACAAAATATATCTAGTGGTCTAACTTATGCAGAGTTAAAACCATAATAAAGGGAAATAAACATATATGACTCTATTAAATGATTATCCAAAAGTTAAAACATTAAAACACAAATAAAACACAAACTGCAACAGTACCGGTAAGGATGTTCCATATGAATGACAGCTCATGGGTGGCGTTTGGCACTTGAACACGTAACCAACACAAACCAATAATATAAAACCAAAAAAATTTCTTTCCTCGAGAGTTGTTATGTTCACAAGGAATAGTGAAGAGACATAAAGTTTACACATTCCACTCTTATGATCACAGTAAGTCTCTCACATTACACTTTTACACGGAGCACGATTTAGTTAACGTTTCCTGAGATTAATGAGTCATATGCGTGTGGTAGATATACTCCAGTGCCCCGGTTGAGTTCAGGCTGGTTTTATCTGATGTGAATGGCTTCAAGAATTTTTCTGTTTTTTTTCTGGTGTTGGTTTACTGCTAGCGTTCGCGTCAAGTCCCAATTCACCATATGTCGTCTGTTATCACTAAGATGTTCGGCCACTGCTGATTGGTTATATGCTGCCAAGGATTGGTGTTCTTTGATTCTTTTATCCAACGGGCGTTTCGTCTCACCTATGCATTTTTTGTTGCATGAGCAGGTTATTTCGTAAATGTAACCCTTGGGTGGTGGTTGGTTCGTCTGTTCTTTTTTACCATTTGCTGACAGTATGTTCTGGATTGTTTTGCCACTAGAGAAGCAGACCTCTATTCCTGCCTGTTGAAGTAGTCTTCTAATCTGGTATGATCTAGCCCCGAGTTCACAAAGCATTCTCAGACTTAAGTTAAGAATTTACTCAAAATTGTTCGCCTTATTTTAACTAAAATATAACCCTTTATAAAACTATTGTTGTTTTAATGTATCAAATACATCAATAAGAAACTATGTGCAAAGTTTTGTGTTTCTGGATCAACGATATTTCTCATAAACAGTGATTCAAAGTTGAGTAAATTCTTAACTTAAGTCTGAGAATGCTTTGTGAACTTGAAGCCTGGAGTCAATAAAGGGGATGGATACCCTTATACCAGTCGTAGCTGGTTTGGCCGGTTTTGGATTTTTAGCATTGTCGTTTGGTTTACAAAATGTGCAGGGTAATTATTAAGTTCGATGAAGATTTTCCGTAAATGAGTTAATTCTATGGATAATGAATCTGCTTGACAGATAGTGGTGGCGCGCTTGGTGAGAGTTGAAACAATAGCCTTCTTAATGTTTAATGGGTGATTTAAGTTGAAATGTATATATTGGTCTGTGTGAGTGGGTTTTCGGTATACTGACGTTTTAAGGCTGTCTTCATCTTTAGTGATTAATACGTCCAAGAATTGAATTTTACCTTCTTCTTCAGCTTCCATAGTGAAGTTGATTCTGGTCTGGTCGTTGAGATGTTGGAGGAGTTTGTTGGGGTCATCATCTTTGTTGAGCACGATAAAAGTGTCATCCACTTTCCGATACCAGACGATAGGTTTGATGACAGATGTCTTTACGGATTCTTGTTCAAGTGACGTCATAAATAGTTCAGAGGCCAACGGTGAGAGGGGGCTGCCCATGGGTAAACCATGAATCTGCTCATAGAAGTCGTCCCCCCATCTAAAATAGGTAGAAGAAATGCATACTTTTATCAGTTCTATGATACCATCGGTGCTGAGAGTTGTATTTAGTGGCGTATCAAGGTTGTTTATCCTATCTCTAAAAAGTTGTAATGTGTGATCGCGGGGTACATTTGTGAAGAGGTCCACTACATCATAGGAGATGATCGTGCAGCCAAAATTAACCTGTTTTATTTTCTCGCAGAATTCGCCTGAGTCTTTTATAAATGAATCTGCTGTTTTTCATAGAGGTGACAGAAGCTTGGATAGGTATTGGGAGGTATTGTAAAAAAACGGAGTCCCTGGAGCAAAGAAGAAGTCGGGCTCTGACTGGGTCTTTGTGGATCTTGATGGCCGCTCTCGCATAAGGTGGCACTGGGTGTGAAGGTTTGAGTTTGTAATATAAACTATTATCCAGTTGGTTGTCGTCTTTCAGTTTGGTCAATACCTTGCGTAGGTTAGCTTCATGCCTTGTGGTTGGGTCCTTCCGAATCCTACGGTAGGTGGTATTGTCATTTAGTAAGTTCTATACGGTCGACATATAGTCAGACTGGTCCATTATGACTGTAGCTTTACCCTTATCCGCTGGGACAATGGATATTGTCTTATCTGACTTCAATTGTTGAAGGGCTTGCTGTTCTGTTGCTATCATATTTCCTGTTGGTTTGTGTGGTGATTTCTTAAGCAAATTTGTAATTTGGTGTCGAAGGTAGTCTGTTTTCCAACACGGTGCCAGTTGACGAATTCCCTTTTCAATGTTGGTGATGTAATTATCATAGTTCTTGGGTTTGGTGGTTGGTATGAACTCGAGTCCTTCAGACAAAAGGGTGATTTGAGCGTCAGTTAGGATCTTGGAACTTAGGTTGACCACAGTTTTGGTAAGGTAATCATTCTTTGCCTCTTTGGTTGGGTGATTCTTCCCAGATTTGGTTTGTAAAAGGTTGTGGAATTTCTGGATTTGTCGCCGTTTCACTTTCTGGTCAATACTGTTGTTGTTCTTTACCTGCATGTCATTGAGGGTGGTGTAATGATTTGCAGTTAGTTGAGATTTCAGTTGTTCGTGAAGGTCTTTATTCACTCTAGTGATTCTTTGCTTCACATTCCTATAATGTTGTATCCTTTCACGGACAAGACACTTACTAGCTGTTTTTAAGATTTTAACCGCAGCTAGAGAGCACACTGGGGCATTAAGTGTTAGTCCTTTGCATATCAGGTCACTGTCCCTGCAGCGTAATGAAAACGTTAGATTATTGCAAACCCTTGTATACTTCTCTGCTGATTTAACAAGTTGATTGATCTGTTTAACTGCCACATCTCCATAAAAGAATCAAAGAACACCAATCCTTGGCATCATATAACCAATTAGCTTAGTGATAACAGACGACATCGGGTGAATTGGGACTTGACGTGAACGCTAGCAGTAAACCAACACCAGAAAAAAAACCCAGAAAAATTCTTGAAGCTATTCACATCAGAAGAAACCAGCCTGAACTTAACCGGGACACTGGAGTATATCTACCACACGCATATGACTCATTAATCTCAGGAAACGTTAACTAAATCGTGCTCCGTGTAAAAGTGTAATGTGAGAGACTTACTGTGATCATAAGAGTGGAATGTGTAAACTTTATGTCTCTTCACTATTCCTTGTGAACATAACAACTCTCGAGGAAAGAAATTTTTTTGGTTTTATAATATTGGTTTGTGTTGGTTACGTGTTCAAGTGCCAAACGCCACCCATGAGCTGTCATTCATATGGAACATCCTTACCGGTACTGTTGCAGTTTGTGTTTTATTTGCGTTTTAATGTTTCAACTTTTGGATAATCATTTAACAGAGTCATATATGTTTATTTCCCTTTATTATGGTTTTAACTCTGCATAAGTTAGACCACTAGATATATTTTGTTATAATATTTGTTGTCTAATGGAGAGGGTAATTAAAGGTATCAACAATAACATGGTTTCTTATCATAGGTTGTTTTTAAATAATTTAATCTTTATTTTTAAAATTTTGTAATCTTTATTTGCAATATGGAAATTAAGGGTTTAATTATGATCAGTTGTTGTTTTAGCATGGATTTGTACATTACACCCCCCCCCCTCTTTAAGGGTTTCTCATTGATTATAATAGTTTACTTAGGTATGACTTTGAATGGCTTCGGCCTTATTTTGTTAATTAGTTCATTGTTATCTGTTTGTATATATCCTGTAACATGTTGATTGTATCATTGCTTGATAACGGTGAGAGTGACCTCATTGAAACCTTGCAGTTAATAAACCTAGTGAATGTCATCCATAAAGCTGTCTGTTATTATATATCACTTTCACTAAATGCCTTTCAAAGATACGATTCTAATCCAGTCGATATCGAAGGCTAGCCTTGACATCGAGAGTTGATTATGGTCTGGATAAGTTATTTAATGTCTAATTAATAATTAAGATAAGATTTCAGGACTAAAGAAAGACCTGCGATAGGCAGATTTAGCTCTTACATAATGCATGTTTAATGGGATTATTTTTCTTCATTCTCAAAGGGAAATTTTGTGAATGTGATAAGAAAACAATTCTTTATATAAAATATTTTAAACTCGGCGAGATGGTTCTTTGGGATATGATAGGGAACACTAATTAATTTTACCTATTTACATTGCAAGACATTTTAAAGCTTCTGAACGCGATACAGAACAAGTTAATATATGGAATCCCCATAGATTCGGATTTATTTAAATCTTATATTTTGGACAACTCAGTCGGATTTTTAGACAGGCCCGCGTCTATTTTGAGATATTTTTTAAAATTACCGAACTCGCCCAACTACTCATATCATGAACTCTAATGTAACGTAGAGTGATTCATCAAAGTCATGTAATCGCTCTACAGGCCAGAGTTAGCTATATACTAATATTTGTGACTGTCGTCTGTCCGTCTGCCTGACCAGTGTTGGCGGCTACACTAGTGCTGTCCTAGGGCTGAAATTTGGTGTATACGGGTTTCTCGGACTGGGAAGTAACATAGGCCTAATGGCGATGGACTACCGCTTGCGGTTTTTGAGTTATACTACTTTCAGCCTGGGCAGCGCCGGGTCATCCGCTAACACAGATTACTGACTCGTAATGAACGTATCGAAATTAAAGGTCGCACATCAATTATTAGAAAGTTATTGCCGTTTTTTTATCAAAACCGGTAATCGCTCTATAGGCTTTCATTTTCGTACATCCATGTGTATGTGCCATATGTCAGTCTGGTGCACATGGTGGAAACATGGTAATATGCACATTGAGATATCTCATGTATCGAAGTTTAAGGGGTGGGTAGTACATCAGTAGAAAACGCAGGTGATATCCCGCCATGATCTCTTAATATCGTTCCATATTTTATCTTTATACATTTCAGACGTGTGGAACTCCAAATTTCTGGAACATTTACCATGTATCAGAGTAATGACTATAATATAGAGGTAAAAATATATTTATTGTTAAATCCTCATGACGGGTTAAAGTGTGACACTACAGGTAGGATTACGTCATGACTATCATTTGTCACGGCACTAAATAAAACATACATGTGACACTACGGGGAAAAGATGTGGCTATCTAATCAGGAACTTCCAGAAAACGGCCCATGACACTAGAGTGACACTTATTTAGTCAGGACTTTCACGCTGTATATAAAATGAATTAACTCCGGAATACTGTGTTTTTATAGCTATATAAATCAAATACAGGTAACTACAACATCCATGATGGTGCATTAGGAGTTATTGTAATATCTACAGTTTGGGATTAACAAGCCTAGAACACAGACTGACACGTGGCAAGTGCCACACCTTTCTTGATATTTCTACATCATGTTCTCGCTCAGCCTGTACGACAGCTAAGGAGGCTGTGGAGACGTCCTTCTGGGAATACTAAATGATCTCTGAAGGGAAATGTATCCACGCTCGTTCTTATATAGAAAGTATAGATATGCCAGCTATTAGGGCGGGACAATTACCATTTTGGGTAAGTGTTGTGTATAGGCATCGTTTTAGGTCAACATTATTCTAATTAATTGGACTAATCTGTGCACGAGATGACTAGACGATGGTACCCTACTTTCAGTAATTGATGGTCGCAGAAAATGTCTGTGAGTTAGTGTATGAGAGTTGAATCTTGCAAAATACTTAGCCCATTTCTCGTTGACACCCATTTGTTTAACCACTTCAACACATTAAACAGCGCACCCCTTACAGAACCAAAACAATCCCAGTGGTATTACACAAGCCATACGTTTTTATAGAATATTAGTTTATTTTGAAAACGTTGCGGTCTGATGAGTATACTGTAAATGTGTGAACTTGACCCCAAACAGTTCCTTGTATCTTTAGCTTTCTCACATTATTAATAAATTAATGATACCGATTTGGTTCGGCCCTTGGAACATTCATTAAGCTGACCAAATGTAATTGCGTGACGAGGCAACTGGCGGCAATAGGTGCAAACAGTGGGAAAGACTACCAGCAATTGTTGGCGTGCTTTTCAAACACAAAATTTGTTGAAAGACCGATGGTCGTTGGCGGAAAGCTATGGAAGGGTATCGCTACCAATATTAAATGTTCTGCTAAAATGTCTTTCCTATTGATTATATGTAAGAAGTACAATGTACAAAGTTCTTATACCCGTAATGATACTGTCAAAATACCTCTAAGGCCAAAGTTAAATGTAATGTGTGTAAGACACTGGTTTGTTAACATTTTCGGATGGTACGAAAATCCGCGGTCTCGCGTACACGTTGGCATGCACGTAAAAGAACCTTTGACAGTTGGAATTCGAAATAAGAGTAGGCCGTATCGCCGCTGTTCGGGCATATTTCCCTCATAGCACACTATGTGTCGTATGCCCGTCTTCTTTAGCTCAGTCGGTACAGACAAGTGGGGTGTTAATCATTTCAGGTCTTCTGTATTATTTTGCTTTTTCAGGTTCAAGTAAAACGCGAGGAGTGTTCTACAAATGCCTACTGTGTTTGTGGTGTAGTCGTTCGAGTTGGACAGACAGTTTTTATGATAAATCATTGCTCGATTGATTATTGGTTTATTGATTATATCCTGTGTAATGATGGTGGTGATATTCTCGACGTCAAACTATCAAATGGTATTTACAAGGTAATAATATATATTATTTATATGCAGGGGCGGATCTAAGAGTTTTGAAAGGGGGGCGCCTCAAAATGAGGGCACTGACCGCGGTTTTTTTTGTTTTTATCTGTCATTTCCTTGCATCTGTAGCCATTCCAAGAGCTATTTGGTTGATATTTTCGTCTAAGTAAACTTTCGGAAATCGTTGAAAAAGAACCTTAAAATCGAGCAAAAAAGCCAGTTGAACATGCGACTCGAAAATTGTTATTGTTAAAATGGAATACTTCACTCCTTAAATACGGAATATATAAAGTTGGTACTTAAGATTTAATGAATCAAATCGAAGAAACGCTCATAAGATTTACGAACAACATTCGTCTCGGAAATTTCGAGGCATAACTGTCGATTATTTTTTTGTAATCGAGTTTTATATCCCGATGTACATAAAGAAGTACGAGGGCATTGAATCGCTCCTCGGACATCGGGGTGCAGAATTCGACCTTTTCACAGTAGCACTTTTGGCGCGTGTAGTCAACATGATGCTTAGAACTCGCGTTACGTTTGGGCTGCAACGGGTTCGGAACGGACATATTTGGGTCTGAAAAAGGCACTTTCAGCAGTAAAAAAAGGACACTGTCGAAATTTAGGGGGGGGGGGGATGGTGATTACAAGATGATAGTATATATTATTTATAAAATGATAGTGGTGATATTTTCGACGTTAAAATACTAAATGGTATTTACAAGTCAATAGTATATATCATTTATATGGTTTTGAAGTGTCCCACTGTGTAGTGTCCTTGCAAAAATCGATATTCGAATCCAAGGCTGAAATTACAGACATTTTTCCGCTTTGATCGACGAGACGTCGTATACCAATCCGGACAACGCTTTCAAGTAACCAACGGTTGATTGGCATCGTTTTATTTTATACCTCGAGCCACCCTGTTTCTATATTTTCTTCATAAATGATGACCGAATTTGATGGATTTTCAGATTATGTTACCAACAGGAGCACATCTTGAACTAAATGTTCTGGGTACAAATACTGATCCATACCTAAATATATATATGTATCCGTCCGTGATAGATGTCGGTGTGAGTAGAGGGCTGTGTGGTAATTTATCTGGGTTGGATTACTACCAACAAAATGAATTAGTTTTAAGGAATGGAAGTACAACCACTGACAACGAATCTTTCTTGAATTCCTGGAAGTAAGTAAAATATTATCATCCAATTGCGTTGTTTTTACCCATAAGCCTTCCATGTTTTCTTCTATATAACCGGGAAACGTGTGTAGTATGTGACTCGATGATGGTAACCAATAGACAACATTAATACCATGTAATAAATAATAAATAAAGATATGTTTAATTCAGACAACTTGGGTATGCTCAGTGCTTGGTCCCGTAATTATACCACATGTAAATGCGAGAAGGCACGTTTTGACAAAATTGTAACGGAAATATAGGCTTCAAAATAGTTCACAAGAAACGCTACATTTCATCCGTTCGCAAAAAGATATCGATACCCACAATTATAAATGATAATAACATAATAATCTATATCGGACGGGAACATTTACATTTTTGATGCGATTCGCAATATTGAGCATTATTTGCATAACTATACCCAAAATTCAATATTATATCATGTGATGTCAGTAAATAAAAATAAAATTTCACAAACTATGGGTAATATAAAACAATAATATTAACAACAAAAGAATATTACATGCACATAGACCAGGAGCCCAGATGGTCGAACCTAAACGAACGAGGTACCAATATCTGACCATATCGGTATATACATCCTAACCTGGGATGTACAGAAATAGGCGTCTGTCGGGGTCCAGTCCCTTGGTGTGGCCCTGGTGTCCCCCACAAAGACCCCCAAAATGAGTTAAACTCATACATTCGAGGTACCGTTCGAAACCAATTTTAAATGAAAGAACACATCTTACTGAGTACGAAATTGTCCATAAAAGATGATTTGGCTGAAACTGACAACCTAAATATGGACCCCAGAGGGTTTGAACAAAGGTTGTATTCATACATTCAAGGTACCAGTTGAAACTAATTTTAAAGGAAAGAGTATATTCCGCTGACTACGAAATTGTCCATAACAGACGATTTGGCCCCTGGAATGGCCCAAAACGGACACCCTGAAGCCGATATGGTTGGGGGGGGGGCAAAATGGGTAATACTCATATATTCGAAGTACCGTTCAAAGCCAATTTTAAACGAAAGAGTACATTTCACCGAGTACGAAACTTTTCCCACCTTGATTCGCCTTGAATATGGATGTAGGTGCAATGTGCGAGGGCTGACAGAAAAGTTCTAAGCCTTTCTTTGAAAGACCTGTACAAAGTCGATGGTTTCCATATTGCAAGGCCTGGATGCCGGTCAGAAAGAAATTTTCTTAAGCCACCCTTAAAAATGTCGTTCACAGCGAAAATGGCGTCATCTTTACTAGGAAAATGATGACTGGCTAGTTCCATTTTCATTTTTGGAAACGGGTCGCATCCATGGTTACAAATCTGGCCAAAAAATTATCAGAATCTGCTTCCAAAACAACACAGATTGTCATGGGGCCTCAGGAATCTGACCATTTTCCGATCCACGGTCAAGAGCTATCGCACCCATCTTGCAGAAAATTTTGGCATTCCTAATTCATTGTCGATAATGTGCTCAACCCTCTCATGAGAGGTGCTCACAACACTGGCAATTTATCGAGAGGTCAATCGTCGATCAACCATCACCCTGTCATGCACCCGGGTAATATCTTGAATGGTTGCTGTTGATGGCCTTCGAGGACGCGGGTCATCGTCAAGGCTCTTTCTGCCACGCTTACATTCCGCAGCCCACTTATTTACTGTGGCAAAAGAAGGGGCATCAACCCCAAATTGGAGACCATGTCGGCCTGTATACTGTACCTGTGTCAGGATTAGTTCTTTCAGTTGCAGGTACTTGATGATTGCCCTATAGCCAGCTTTATCCTCTTTGGTATTCATCTCTGAATATATATATATATATTGTTGATAAAACGGCATAACACTAGATACGAAATAAGAAAGACAAAAAATCCAGCACACGAGATTTTTCTTTAAATTTTCGGATGACACAGCATCCTTCGTCAGAATCACGTAACAAATTATAGTGAAGAGTAGAATTCAACAGGTTTAAATACAGACGAGAGGGTGTGAGGGAGCCGTCGGCGCACTGAATCGGTACTGATGGATCTTCCCTGTGTTCCTACTGTCTGACGTGCTGTCTCAGATGCCTATGTGAAGGGATTCTGCACGTTCTGGCGCACAACATAGCGGTCTTGTCGCCTTGTGGTAACCCTTGGTCTACCAGTTCGGGGGCGACCATCCGTGGTCTGTCTGCACGTTCTGTCGCACAACATAGCGGTCTTGTCGCCTTGTGGTAACCCTTGGCCTACCAGTTCGGGGGGACCATCCGTGGTGTTGGTGGCCCAAAAGCATTGCTGAAGCCTGTAGATGGTCTGAACATTGACCTGGAAGTGATTGGCAACGGATTGGGCAGTGTGGCCAGCGTCGAGTCTTCCGAGTGCCTGGTTCCTGTTGTTAGTCTTGTATTGTGAATGATTCAAGCGGGTATGGGGTGCATTTTATAGGGCTGGTCCCAGGGAACAGCACGTGCAGCATGAGTAACATGAAAATCACGGAGAACACATTACCATCTCAGAAGTCAGGTGCGTTTTTGAGAACATTTCCTGGGTTCAATTCTGTGTTTGGGAATGAGCCTTATGGCTCCGTTAAAGTTGGAGATGTGGTAACAAATATACAATAAAAACATTTGGCATGTTTTATGCAATGCGTCTATTCAGAGCAACATACCAACCCGAAGTTTCTTTTGCTGCTTAGTGTCTGGGATTTCTCCTTCAAAGCCGTAGATGTATTACTATTTATTTTTATTTTTATTCATTTAACTAATTGTCTAGGATTGCTCCTTTAACGTTGTACAGGTATTACTAGTTTTTATTATTTTTATTCATTTAACTAATTGTCTCATTTTAAAGTGCTACTTGCTGTTCTTTCTATACAGGAGTCACGGTGGCTAGGTGAGTAAGACGCTGGCTCGCTAGTCTGGGGGTCGCGGGTTCGCTCCCGGTGTTGGCTGACAAAGTTCATCGGGATTTTCTGGCATGGTTATTTATGAGGCAGTTTATTTCTAGGACTCCTCCTGGTGAAGATATGTTTGATCCAGACAACTTGGGTATGCTCAGTGCTTGGTCTCGTAGTTATACCACATGTAAATGCAAACCGGTACTTTATTGGGCCCTCACAAATGAAATCGATTGTTCACCTTACAACGAACCAGTTATTTGTAATGAGGATGTAGAATTCAGAACAGTTCACAAGAAACGCTGCATTTCACCAGCCCGTAAGAAGAGATCGATACCCACAATAAGAAACCGGCCCGAGAATTATAGACGAATTAAAAGGGTAATGTATACATACATTATTTTGTTAGAAGATAAGCAATAACTCACTTAAAAACGACACCTTGAAATTTCCGTGTGGCTAACGTGATGTCATTTGTTTTTACAGATTGATAACATTTCTATTAAACATGCATTATGCAAGAGCAAAATCTGCTTATTATAAGTCTTTCTTTAGGCCTGAAATGTTATCTAAATTATCAATTAGACATTAATTAACTTATCCAGACCATAATAAACTCTCAATGTCAAGGCTAGCCTTGGATGTTGGCTGGATTAGTTCCTATATGCCGCTAACGGCCAGTGATAATTAAATCAATAAAAGTGGATAATCGAGACTATGCTGTTTATATTAATGATTTTAGTAATGATGACCGAGACTATGCAAAAATTTCAACCGCTTCTTTCTCGGCTCATAGTGGATAAATTTGACTAAAATTTTCAGCAAATTACCTTTACACTATAACAGAACACAATTTTTATGGGAAACAATCACTAGTTTTATTCTAATAGCACGACGTTTCGACAAGTATCCTCTTATCGTTATCAAGCACAATGACATTTAGTAAACTTGGATTTAATATATAAGAGTTCATGTTGAAGCCAAATTATTACACACTCTTATATATTTGTCTTCAAGTTTACTAATCTGACGAACACACTTGTGTACCCCAATCACTAAATGCCACTTAAAGATTACCTTTACACTATCTAGTTTTTAACTATTATAGCGAGAACTGCCATCTCTTTATCTTACCTCCCGTAATGTATCTTTAATGTAAGAACAAATTCAACTTTTAGTAGCATGGATGTCGTGTACTAGTGCCATCAGGCAGGATGTTTACTCGCTCTAAAACACCTTATGACATAACGTCAACGTCAACCCTGCAAAAATTGACCCTGGCATTGCAAGAGGAGTGGGTCAGAGTGCCCCAAATCGTGATTGGACGGTTGATTAAGAGCATGCCACGACGAATTGCTGAATATCTGAGGATTGGTGGAGCAATTACTCACTATTAAGACAAAACGGTGTATCTCTTTGCGAGTGAAATAGGGCCATCAGATAAGCCGCCCATATCAACTGTTTATGTTCATGTGTAGGCAATTGGCAGTTTTGTATTGTTTCTCAATATCCCCTACTTTTTTGAAGATTATATATTCATTACATCGGATAAAACCACAGTATTACAGTTATTAGGTGGATTTATCACTGTACAAGACATTGAGGTGTCATCGATGTCTTATAACGATTTCGTATCATTACAGAATGTAAATTGGAAGAATGGATGGACCCATGAGTCTGCTACGGATTATTGTGACAATCTCTTTAAGTCTTCAAATATGATTAATCTGTGTAAAGAGGTACCTGGCGTCGATGTTTCATTTCCCATGGCAAATTGTGTTCTTGATATTCAGGTGAATAAAAGTCACGTGATCGGATCTATAGTCTGCTCTACTATTAAATACATAGTATAATGTACTTTGGCTGTGCAGCTTAATAATATTTTTTTTTTTTTTAAAAAAAACAAAACAATTTAACCCCATGTAAGGTAATTTAAGATTGGTTTTTCGTTCAAATTAGCTATACTCCATAGTGTATACACATTTGGAGGTGTTATTACTTTAATTAGACTATGACTTAACACAGCATTACAAATAAGTAACTGTGTGTTGAAAGGTATTAATCTATTTAGTTTTAATTATCCATTTATGTGTATACCTGAACTTAAATAGGAATATGCCTGAAACTTAGTAGTACGGTAACACTTTATTTCTATTAGCATAGATAAAAAGTTCGGTAACTTAATAACTTAATACCACATTACCAAAACAAAGTATTTCAGTTAGAATGGTCGAAACAAGCTAACATGATTTCACGGTCTGTCGTTTATTCCATTCAATGTTTTTTCTTCTATTCTATCTTTTCAAATTTCGTATTCATATTCTTGTTTTTATTTTGAATTTAAGCTAAGTGGAACAACAGATTTTTCATTGGCTGCCATCAACTCTATAAGAAGTCAGTGTTTACGTGAGGCTAGTATGAATGTTACTCTTCGGCAGGAAACTAGTCCAGATAAACCTTCAGTGTTAAAACTAGTTAAAGCTGTAGCTTGTCCTGCAGAGTGTTCAGATAGAGGTGTCTGTGTTAATGGTAAGAACGTGTAATGGTAAGCTTCTGTAGCTAGGTATGATTTGAACTTTGAGGAATTGAATGCCTGACTCTATCAGTAATTATATCAAATGTGATAGGAAACCCCAACCCATCCCTATCTTTTCATTAAAGGCTACGGAATTTAATCGTTATTTAAAGAATTATTTTGTAAAATTATGACTGGAGTGAGAAGATGACAAGTCAGATTATTTACAAAATATCTACACAAACCATTGATTTGTTTCTAGAGGAATCGTGGCAGAATTGCTGTTACTTTATTTTTTTTATACTCATAACTATACTAAACAGCAAAAAAAACGTCAGTACGATTTCAAAATCAGAGAGGCACTTTAATCAATCATTCTAGAAAACGACTTACTAAATGGATCAAAGGAATATTTTGTGAATAGTATGTTGACACATTAGTGATTAATTCATAACAATTCCAAGACATTACGAGAAGGTTTAGAGTCTGTACATAGTCTGTACAGTGTATACATCTGGTGTGTCCACCGCGAGTGTCAATAACAGCAGCGCAGCGTCTGTACATGGACTGAACCAGCCGATTGACGAACGCCATTGGCACATGGAACTGAGAAAAGACTCCTCTGAATTTTATCCCAAGATGTTCAATCCGGTTGAAGTCCGGACTAACGGCTTGTCAGTGCATAACGTTGACGCCGTTCTGCTGTAGAAAGTCCCGAGTAACTTTGGCGGTGTGGGCACGGGCGTTGTCATGCTGGAAAACGTTGTTTCGATGACGTGCGGAATGTGGTATGACGTGGGGTCTGAGAGTTTGATCGATGTACCGCACTGCTGTTATGTCGTCTCCTCTTCCTGGACCAAGAGTTTGGAACACCACAGGACCCACTCTCTGGTTCAGGCCGATTCGATCCAATTATGCGTGGACAGAATAACGCTGGCCACGTCGACGGCATATTCTGGTCCTGCCATCTGAAGTTGATAGACAATACCGACTCGCATCTTTGAACAGAGCAGTTCTCAATTGCCTGTGTCGCCAGTTCTGGTGTTGTTGGTCAAACTGTAGACGTTCACGTCGATGCCGAGGGGTGGTGAGACGTCGGCGCACTGTATCGGTACTGATGGGTCTTCCCACTGTGTGACGTACTGTCTCAGATTCCTGTATGAAAGGATTCTGCACGTGCTATCGCATAACATGGCGGTCTTGTCGCCTTGGGGTAACCCTTGGTCTACCAGTTCGGGGGCAATCATCCGTGGTGTTGGTGGCCTGAAAGCGTTGCTGGAGCCTGTAGATTGTCTGAACATTGACCTGGAAGTAATTGGCAACGGATTGGGCAGTGCGCCTGGTTCCTCTGGACTGTCGTTAGTCGTGTCATGCTGACGTTTTAGTGTGAATGATTCAACCAGGTATGGGGGTGCATTTTATAGGGCTGGTCCCGGTGAACAGCACTTGCAGTACGAGTTACATAAAAATCATGGAGAACACATTACCATCTCAGAAGTCAGGTTGTGTTTTTGAGAACATTTCCTGGGTTCAATTCTGTGTTTGGGAAGGAGCCGTATTGCTCAGGTAAAGTGTGAGCTGTGGTCACAAATATACAATAAAACATTTGGCAAGTTTTAATGCAATGCGTCTATTAAGAATAACATACTAACCTGACGTTTCTTTTTCTGCTTCGTATACTTTTGCATGACTAAAATGAACCCAAGTTCAAACTGATTGATTTGAATAATTTCTGAACATATATATTTTTGATTTGATATGATCTTATATTCTATATTTAACTCTTATTCTGGCACATTATCTCTTACACATGGTTTTATCATTATTCTGCATGAACAATTTATGTAATCAACAGGTACCTGTGATTGTAATGATGGTTTTTCGGGACCAGATTGTTCTGTTGATCTAAATCAACCACCTCTGGTCGATAGTCTGGAAGCCAACGGGTATTGTGATCACAAAGATGGTGGTTGTGAAGAGATTGCAGTATTTGGTGGACCTTTTGTAGAATCTGACAAATTCAAATGCCGACTGCTGCTGCTCGAGGTTCGGAAATCTATGGCATTTATACAAGAATGTATCTAATTCGAAAGTGAATTGTCTTAATCCATTTCCATCTGTCCACAATTCATGAACAAGATCTACAGGTCACATCTTTGAGATTGTGCTTGGCTAGTTATAGGGAAGTTCGTAGTTGGAGATTTAATGCCCCTATTACTGAAACTTTGGAAACACTTACGTGTTTTGCTGGATATGTCCAGATAGCCATAAACCATCGATCGCCCACTTCAGTCAGTTATATAGAGGAATAACTCGTGTTTTCCTTTTGCGTTCGTCACTTCCGATCGCTGAAACCTTGTTTACGCATTTATCGTAGCAATGATCTCTGTGTTAAAATTATATTTGGAATGTGTTCAACCAGTTCTATCACATATGTGATAATGACTGACACTAATGTTGTCCTTTAATCGATATTTTATTTAATAACGTCACAGAATTAATATGCTGAATATAGGATATGATAACACACTTTATAAGCTTAAGTAAACCCGCCTCTTTGTGATGAATCAATAACAGTGCAGCTTCTAACTGCATAAAAACAAGGAAATCGTTCAATAGTCCAAGGTCGACAATCAGGCAACGATATATCAGTTTTTGCGATAAAGTCACAGAAAATTGACCTACTTTATTGATACTTAACAAGTGTAAACCGGACACAAATGTCGACTCTAGATCCACAAACATTTACAATTCTCATTTTGCGTAACTCCATAACGGAAAGTACGATGCGCCGCACCAAAATGTGAAAGAAGTTTCATCTAATCGGCACAATAATTGTGGGCTCTAGAGGGTCCATTATCGTTGACAATAGGAATAAGAACAGTAATTGTGGCCCCAGGAGGGCTGCCCATCGTACACATTTCAAAATTATACGTAAAAGTTACGGGGTCATAACTCAATCAGTTGCGGCCCGATTCGCACCTATCCGTTTGTCCACAAACGAATGTAAACGGACGTCTGGACGTCCGGAAATGCGTGACAAATAACACGTCAACGGTAAAATCGGTCCAGTTGGTAAAATTCTGCGACTTAAAAGCCGAAAATGGCACGTGGCTACCGAGATTTTCTTACAAATTACCCACATGCAGATTTTAGTGCTTGTATTCAAATTGAAATATCTTTACTTTCAGCCGCCCGAACTGTAAGAGTTTTGCAACTGGCAATCATAATATGAGCACATTAAATTTAGATATAGATGGTATCTACATTTTAGATTATAATTTAGGATTTCTTAAAAGGACACTCCCCAAATTTCATCAATGGAATATAGAAATTTATGGGTTTTTTTTTAACGAATATATCTTTATTTATTATGTTAACATCTGGTTTAATTTTTGGTCCTCTTTGCCTTTGCTCAGTAATATTATTTTTAGATCGAGCACAAAGGACAAGTAACTAACAGTGGGTATGCGTTACAATTGAAAAGAAATGAAATGGGGTTTAACGTCCCACTGTTCTGCTTTGACTGGGCTAATGACGACGGGGTATGCGTTATAAAAGCTGTAAAAGAATAAGTATGATTAATAAAATAAAACCAAGTACGAACAATCCAAACCATTAGACAAAATTCGAAGTCCTAAAAAAACGGTATAGGCAAAATAGTGTAATAAGGCAAAATAGTGTAATCAGCATATGGACTGTTCACCGTGTACAAAATACACGACAAACAGTGGTACATGAGTTTTAAATCATGGTGTTTTATGAATGTCAGGAACCATAAGCATAATACTAATGTATTAAAATTTTCTTAAACTTAAAGTATTAAGTTCTAGTCAAATCAAAACTAAACACACCGCCTTTTGTAGCAACGATGGGTCAAGTAACAGCTCTAAAAAAGCCGTCACATGACCATTTATTATCCATAATTACAACTTAAACTAGTAACCTCACCATGAATGTAAACACAATCATTGCTAACACTATCGAGTTGTAAACGACCGGTTCTGACCACCCCTGCTGACATTTAGTGTATTCACCAGCAACTAAATGGTTGGTTACTAGACGCAGATATTTATAACTGTTTTGTATTTAATAGTCAAACGCAGAAGTAGATTTAACGAATTCTCCAGTTGTTGAAAGTATTGGTGAAGTGACGTGTCCACTACCTATTAATAGACAAAAACGATCAACAACTGTTCCCGTTGTAGACACAACAGTACCAAGCTACAGGGTAGCTGTGTCCAATGATGGACAAATCTTCAGTCGACAGTTAACGGTGGTTATCATGAATTCTGATTGCATGGACTGTACGATTGATGGCGAGACCGTGAAATGTAGGATGTTTGTAAGTTGTCATGTCTTCATTCTCCCCACCCACACTCTGATATCATTAGCCTGTATACAATGCACGTATCTAAATGTTTCTAGATATCTTAATATAAAATACCTTATTTGAATGAACACAAAGGGAAGTAAAAAGTGAATGAACATAAAAAGGGAGTAAAAACGAATTTACATTTGTGATTTTACTCCCCGGTGATTTCGATCAAATGGATTAAATGTTTAAAATGTGTTATTTTGTAACCGAAACATGGTTTAACTGCTCACAGTTTAAATAATTAGCGAAAGACGAAAGAGGGGCCCACTCCGCGGTCACTTAACATATTTAACAAGGTTATGGATTTGTAAAATTATAACAATTAAATAGATCCAGGAGCAGCCAAGAACAGTATTTATCCAGTTTTATATAATTTACACTGGTTTACCTGTTAAATATCGAATTGATTTTAAGATTTTATTACTTACTTTTAAATGTTTAAATAATTTAGCTCCTGTTTACCTCTCAGATCTTTTAGAACTTTATACACATTACGTACATCAGATAAACTACATCAGAAATAACCTTTTACTTGATTCGTTGATGACACAACACAGCAATTGGTTTTATTGCCTGCGCCATCCTACATCTAAGTTGTCTGAAATTGTGGCGAGTTTGGACGCGGACAATCAATCTATTAAAACAATACAGACAGCCATTGGTAATAAATATTTCTCAGTGGACTTTTAAGAATAATTTTAAACCGGATATGAATAGTCTATTAAGATTAGGGAAAACCTCAATTTAAATCTTGACATCTATTAATTTCGACTTCTATTATAGGAAGATTATTGTTATACGGAGGAACGCTGTTATAAAACTGGTGAATGGTATATATATAATGATGACTATCAATGTACCAACGGACAGTGGCAACTCACCAGTATGTAGAATTTTATGATTATTTATAATGTGCTCTTTTATGTGATATTACTTTTAAAGAGATTGATATTCGGGTCGGAAAATCGAAGTTACATAAATACAACATGAGTTATGTCAACTTATGTCCTGATCAACAGATTTTATGGTATTATTATCTTTACTTTAACTCCAACCCACAAGTGCTTAGTCTTGCAGGTCAAGATACATTTCGACCAGGGCCCTGTTTCACGAAAACTTAAATCTTCTTAAACTAACATTCCATCCTAACTTAAGATAGATCCGTTTCACAAAACGATTTTAAGCATTTTAGATAAAAAAACACTAAAATAATATTTGAAGTTAAAATTTTTATCTTAACTTAAATTAGTGGCGTTTCACAAAACTATTTTATGGACAATTTTAACCGTCACCCTCTCCTAATTTAAAATCATTGACTAGAGCTACGTTTTTAGATCTAGTGCGACATATAGATATATTTGGAATAATGATAATATTGCCAAAGACCCGGGCCCAACCGTTTATGTTATTTTAAGGCAATTTAAGTAATTAAATGGTGCCCCAATTAAAACCCCAATAACAAAAACAAAAAACACCCAAAACCCCAATAAACAAAACTCTTTGTTACTATTGTATCTAATACCATATGATTCAAGTGTAAATTATACAATTTTCAAATAATTAATAGATAAAAAAAACCCAAAAAAACTAAAAAATGTGAACCCACTTCATATCTAATCTCATGGAAAGAACAGTACTCTTATCTACAAAAAAAAATCTTCGTGTAGTCTTACAATGGTTCAAAATTGCCAATTTCTTGGTATTAGAAGGCCTACGGACCTATAATACTAGACATGCCATATGCAAAGTATTTACTCATACGGTTTTGGGGTTATGATGATTTATAAAAAGGTAAATCAATAATCTCAAATGTTTTTTATTGAAAACTTGTATAGGCCTATTTGAAATTAAATTTTAATATCATAAATTTATTATTATTTCTTAATAAATGCTTTCGTTAATTACACAGCGTAAATTAGAGAAGTTTTATATAGAAGCCAAGAGTATTTTATATTGAGGAAAAATCATTTTAATTTAGATAGGATAAATAAGCATTATTCGGTAAGGAGTGTGGCACTTTGGCATTTCAAAGTATTATTGAAAGGGTCCATGGGACTGACATTTCAAATTTAGGCATCGGAACATTGACTATTGGGTGTATTAGTTAAAAGTTGTTAAATACTTTTACAATTCGACAATATTTTACAGTCTAGATTAGTGGTTTGGGTCAGAAATATCACATGTTTGTGTCAATTCTCAATAGTTTCTGTAACCAAAATACCATAAAACTACGAAATTCAAGCGATTTAGTTTATCGATACGCATTATTTCCATTGAAGCCTGCGAGTAAATCAAATGCCAAGGTCACGAAAGCGACATGCAAGTCCGAGGTCAATCCACCGATACATTTCAAACGAATAATACGCAATAAACGCATTTATTTCATCTCTCTACGACAGTCTGACCTTGTGCAAACATAACCACAACGTATGAAACTCTCCCCATTGGTATTGTAACCGTTAGTTCAACCTGGCAACAGTTTTCAGTTTCGAAGCGTTCATGCTTACACCCTAAGTGCCCTCGCCGGAGGTGTGCACTGCGATGGCGCAAGCAATTTTAACTAAAATCTATTAAAATTGCATTTTAGGTTATAATCGATCTTGGTGAAACGCTTAAAATTTAAAATTTCATTTTGATTTTAGTTAAAATCTATTTTAGTGATTTTTGTTTAAGTTTGTGTGAAACAGGGCCCAGGAACCCACATATACATTAGTGGATATTTTGCACCCGAGTTTGCTGACCAACTGTTATGCGTTTCTGGTCAAGAAGCAAATACCTCTCGCTAGTACAAGATATGTACCAATCGCCTGTCATTATTTGAAAGCTATTCGGTAGTATAAAATCGTGTGGGTGTCTTTGGATGACCTATTAACATTTTGAAAAAGAAATGGGGGTTTAACGTCCTGCTCCGACTGGACTAATGAGTGTGGCATTCACCATGTGGTGTGCTATGATAAAAATTGTGCCCGTCCTCGTATATCGAATTCCAACTGCCAAGGGATTTTTTTTACGTGCGCGCCAATGTGTACACGGGACCTCGGTTTTTCGTACACTCGAAGAACTATCCTTGTCAGGATTTACAAATGTCAAAAGGATCTGTTGACATGAAGCTGTGTTTAGTTAGAAAGTGTTGTAAAAGGTGGACGTATCATGCATTGGCCCACGTCCTTCAGTCTATTGACATTTGTATGTGGTTAGAATTATCAGATGTTAATGAAACTTAGAATTATGTTTATATCCCAAAGATCTCTGAGGGTTTGGCACATATCGGGCTGTAACTTTATGAATAATTGTCCCTATTAGTAAAAAAAAATCGCATTGGTAGCTTGTGAACCGACCCACCCGTCTTCATTAGCCCAGTAGGAGCAGAACAGTAGGATTTTAAAACACTTATCATTTCATATCATTTTGTGGAACGACCCTCTGGAGATCACAATATTTTTATACGATTTTGATGAAAATCGGGTCGAAACTTGCTTTGGGTCCACAATGTTTAATGTATAGTATGCACATGGGTAAAATAATAAAATATTCTAAATTGTAATATAACGTATTAACCCTTATGTACATAACTGCAAACATACAATATTTTTTTTAGGTTCTAATGGTGGCAACACGGGCTCCAAAAGTGGCACAACTCCTAAGAGTGGCGCGGATTCTTGTTCCGCTATACAACAACTCAATTTAATAATGATACTTCTTTGTTCAGCAGCCTACATGCTTTAATATTTAATCACTGGTCAAACGACGTTATGAGTGGGGGGATATTGAAATTGCCCTCACCCAAGAAAGAAAATTCCCGATTTTAATAATTAGGGTTTCACACTGCGTAGCTTGTGTGAACACTATTGTTTTTGTTCGGATTATTATTCTTATTATTATTTTTTTTTTCCATTTTGATCATATCTCAGAAATTACTTGTCGGATTGATCCAATTTCTTCGGTTTCACTGGGAAAGTGGGTGTGACTTAGAGATTAAAGCTATTTTGAATGTTCTGTGACAATGCGAAATGTCCGAAATCAGCGAAGTGGTTAATTTTTGAAATTTTCTTGTAACATTTACAATAATTGCCGGATTTTAACATTTGATACATTTTGACATAGGCAGAGACAAGGCACGTAGTACGGTTCTTTAGATTGTTGATTTTCGATGAATCCTCGGAGATATTAGGCGCCAAATTTTGAAAATTTAAATTTTTACAAAAAACTTTTTTATTAATGAATATTTTTTGATGATATTTTATCCAGGGCTAAAGGGTCGTCTGATTTGAGCGAAAATGTCAACAATTTTTGTCTAAATAATTTTCCTTGGCCGCTATTGGCTGAGGAGGTTTTACGCTGCTAGATTCGTTAATGATCGTTCGATTTGTTTGAAACAAAGTTCATATGCTCCATTTTCCAAAATGTCATTTTTTTTGTTACCGATAAAGTTTCCTGTCGACACCGGAAGTGGCATAATTTCAACAAAAACTATAATGTTGACAGTTCGGTACCACTTTTTGAAAGCAAATATTATTTTTTCAAAATTTGTTATTATCAAATCGATGCGCAATGCAAAGGCGCACAAAACATCGGACTCTATTTTTTTAATTTCGATTTCGTTTTCGAGCTATTTCGATTAAAAGGTGAAAAAAGGTGTAAAATTTAGCTATTTACAACCCATTCAGCGTCTTAATATTTGAGAATGTATGTGAAAATTAGTTTGTAATATGAGCAGTTGCCGAGAAATGTGCAATTTTGCATGAGTGACTTTTTACGCTAGTTTGCCTGTAAAAGAGTCAATTATTATTGGATTTCCATAAAAGTGACACCATTTGATGCGTAATGTCAATATTAACTAGGTCAAGCCCATTTAACATTTTCAATGTCACCGGAAATGACGTAATTCGGGCAAAAACTGTATTTAAAGCCATTAAAACCAATAATTTATTCAAATGAGTCGTATTTGTTATTTGTTTAAAATTTTGATATTTGATTCCAATCAACTAATAGAATGAACCCATTCGATCATATAGATATCACAAAATGGTTTTAACTTTTTCAGTTGCGGAGAAACAGACGATTTTCAACAGGTAACTTTTCAAGGTTTTTGGTCCATAAAAGTGTCAATTATTATTCGATTTTCATAAAACTTTCAGTATGTGATACCTAATGCCATTTACGATTTCGTTCAAGTAATTTAACATTTTTACTGTCAGCGGAAGTAACGTCATTTTGGCAAAAACTGTATTTTTAGCCTTCAAAACAGATATTTTATTCAAATGTGTCTGATTTGTATTGTTTTTAAAATTATGATATTTGATTCCAATCACCAAATAGATTGAACCCACACGATTATACAGATACCAAAAAATGGTTTCTAACTTTTACGGTTGCAGAGATATAGACGATTTTCTTTAGGTAACTTTTCATGGTTTTTGTTCTATAAAAGTGGCAATTATTATTCGATTTACATAAAAATTTTCACCATGTGATGCCTTATGCCATTTCTCATTTCATAAAACTAATTGAACATTTTCATTCTCACCCGAAGTAATGTAATTTTGTCAGGATCACTTACATGTAACAAATGTATACAATGAATTGATATTGCCGGATTTGGTTGATTCGGAGTACATTTTATTTGATGTGTGCAATGCTTATATGGAAACCTGTTTAATTGTTTCATCGGTACCGGAAGTGACATATGTTAAAGGGTAACGGGTCACCGGTGAAACCCGTCTTTACTGCGTCCTTTATAATTTTCTTATGTATTTTACTTTCCAAATATTTTATAAGTTTCCTGTGTATTTTACCTTTTAAATATACCTTTCCGTGCACAAACTGGGTGATGTGATCATATATTTGGTCTAAAACATATTCAAACTAATTAATCTATCAAAATTGTGCTTCAACTCCTTCTCAAAACATTGTATTAGCGAGGAAATACCCCAAGCTATCCAAATCTACTAAAAGAAGTCATATTTTACTTTCCAAATATTTTATAAGTTTCCTGTGTATTTTACCTTTTAAATATACCTTTCCGCGCACAAACTGGGTGATGTGATCATATATTTGGACTAAAACATATTCAAACTAATTAATCTATCAAAATTGCGCTTCAAATCCTTCTCAAAACATTGTATTAGCGAGGAAATACCCCAAGCTATCCAAATCTATTAAAAGAAGTCATGTTTGTGTCACGTGACTTGACTGTCGCGATACAAAGCAACGGTTGCGAAGACAGCGGAAATTTCATAGTATAAAAGACGATGTTGTCTTTTATGGCTGTCCATTTATCATAAATATCGAAGCCTAATTAAATTCTCGGATTATCCACTTCCCACGCCGTGGCTTTAATCTCAGAAACTGTTGTACGTTTAAGTCTCTCATTTTTTCCTAGTCTGATCACCATTAAGTTTATCAACATATACATCAAGCGGTCCTTAGCGCTGAGAGATCAGACATTCTTCGCGTGCAACCTTTGACGTCACTTGAGCAGACAGCTCTTAATCGTCAGACTGTCAATTAGTGACACCTCTAATTTTTGTCCTGTGCCTGCTCCATGGATGTTTTTCAAGGAATCGAGTATATTTTCCATATATACCAAAATTGGTATACTTTTATTGGAAATAACCACCCGATAAATACTTTTGTGGGAAAGTATCTTTAAATATTTGATATTTTCTTGTGTATTTGACCTTCTCTGTGTATAAATAACAAATATTTTATAGCTTTCCTATGTAGAAATAACAAATATTTTATAGCTTTTCTGTGTTTATTACCTTCTAAATAAATTATATTTTATAACGTTCTTATGTTTTTCACCTGCTTAATGTTACATATATATTTTCCTAAAGCATTTGTCGTCTGAATACTCAAAGCATTGTTGGTAATATGAACTAAATTTGACACAAACAAATATATTTTTTAAATTATTCTTGTAATTTCGAATCGGTTATGTTTGACGAAAAACTTCAGCAGTTCAAATAGAATGGATTTGTGCCTAATTAGTCCAGTCCACATTGGTATACGGTTGCCTCGTTTATCAAGGCGCAATATTACAAAAGGCCATCGAGAAAACGACTTGGCACACTGATGTTAAATTGTTCATTTTCACCGTAAGATAACAACATCAATAATGGAGTAAATATATCAATTTTAATTCGGGTTTGAAATTCACAATACATTTACGTTAAAGAAGTCCAAGAAGCGATCTAATGCTCATAAGTATTTAGCCGATAGTGTTAAACGTGTTAAAAGAATCTCATAACACCGTGATTTTATTATCCCCCCCCCCCCCCCCGCCCCAATACGTGATGTCACACAAACCGGGATCTTACACAGGGGAGATAGCGCTTGGATGGCGATAGGGGCTTCTTGAACTTTGCGGAATTGAGTGAAACAGAACGAGAAGATGATAGTACAGGAGAAAAAAAAACAGATGCGTATGTTGTGTTTGGCGATGATAATGATTAAATTCTGAAATTGCGTGAAGGTATGCCTAAGAAATGGATCTAACCCTCACTTTAATTTACGTAGGTGTTCAGGCGAGAAGACGAACCCTATCTATATAGTTCCAGCGTTCTGCGATCTTTTTGGAGTTATCTCCCCTTTTTCGAAAAGCTTTTAAGGCAAATAAAGCTACAGCTGTCAGCGCAAAATTTCTCGTATAGCTCATTTCATTAATCAGGCGGGAGGAGAAAGTAGGAAGCAGGCCCGTAACTAGAGGGGGCGCAGGGGGGGGGGGGTCTTTGCCCCCCCTGCAAAAAGTTTCGCCCCCCCCCCCCCCCGTGAACAAATTTTCAACCATAAAAAAATAGATATACATTGTCCGTCAATATTACAGCACCCCCGATAACACTTCCCCCCTTCCCCCCCGTGAACAAATTTTCAACCATAAAAAAATAGATATACATTGTCCGTCAATATTACATCACCCCCGATAACACTTCCCGCCCCCCTCGTTGCTCTGAGCTAGTTACGGCCCTGGTAGGAAGATAACCCCGATGATATTGACATCTTGATTGTACTATAAGCATCTGACTCACATTTTAACAAGAATATGGGAAGCTTATTCAAACCATACATTTATTTGGCACGCCTTTCCTGATTTATACGCATATTCTGTGCAGAAACCGTAGTTTCGATAAAGATGAAGGACGTTAATTGAGGAGTGGTTCTGCATTTGTTATTCACCCACTCCAAAAGAACCTAGTGTGTTTTCTCCGGATCCTCCGGTTTCCTCCCACTGCTAAAGGCCCCTACTCGCACGCGAATTATTGAAATACAATTGAACCATATGTTAGTCCCGAAATGACCTAGTTTTGAGTCGATTGGACGTTAAACTCTCTCTCTCTCCCTCTCTCTCTCCCCTCGCTCTCTCTCTCTCTCTAAATTGTCTGGAAGAAATTACTTAAAGCAAATGTTTGAATATTATGTTGAATATTACTTGTAGCTCTGAACCTTAATCTGGATGTGATAGTGGAACGCACTGAAATGGAATTAAACGAGAGCATCGCAATATACGTCCACATTCCCGCTTTGATTGATATGGTACTTTTTAAAATGAAGAGAATGAAATATGAAATGGCTGTAATATGATAAGAGGCAAAGAAGGCTAGGCGTTGGGTTTGTTTTGCCAAATTTAAAGACAAAATACTAACAAAAAAGTGGGTGTGACACTGCCCCAGGAGGTCGGGGCAAGCATCAAAATAAATAGTTGCTGTCTTTACAGTATAAGAAATAAATATGCAAAGATGATTCATTCAGAATTGCGACCTGTAGACGATAAATAAAAAAAATGGGCGTGGCTCTGTCCGTGGGGGCTGGATATGGAAACAATATAAATAGGTACCACCCTGTTATTGAAATGACAACATCAATAGTTGCTGTCCTTAGAGTATAAGGAATAAGTATACCAAGTTCAAAGATAATTCATTCAGAATTGTGGCCTTTGGATTGGGCGTGGCTCTGCCCCTTGGGGTCGAGGCATTCACCAAAATCAATAGTTGATGCCCTTAGGCTATAAGGAATATAAATGCCAAGTACCAAGTTGATCCATTCAGAATTCCGGCCTGTAAACGATAAACACAAAAATTGGGCGTGGCTCTGCCCCTGGGGGTCGGGATATGCAGTTATCGTCCTTGGGCTATAAGGAATACATAGTTCAAAGACAAACCATTAAGAATCGTGGCCCGAAGGCAACTCACAGAGACACAAAGAAACAATGGATGTGGTTCTGCCCCTGGGGGTTGGGCAATCACCAAAATAGGGGGCATCCTTAGGGTATCAGGAATAGGTATGCAAAGTTTCAAAAGGATCTGTTAAGAATTGCGGCCTGTAGGCGACACAAAAGGCACACAAACACTGGGCGTGACTCTGTCCCAGTGGGTCGGGCATGCACCAAAAATAATAGAGGTCAGCCTTAGGGTATAAGGAATATGTATAAAAAAGTTTTCAAGATAATCGATTAAGCATTGCAGACTGTAAGTGACATACAGACACACAAAAAGAAAATGGGCGTGGCTCTGTAAATGGGGGCTGCGCATTCTCCACAAACACTAGGGATGTTCCTTAGGATAGAAGGGGTAAATATGCAAAGTTTCAAGGTGATACGTCAAGAAATGCGGTCTGTAGATGACAAACAATGAATACAATAATGGGCGTGGCTCTGCCACTGGGGGTCGGGCATACACCAAAAATAATAGGGATCATCCTTAGGGTATCAGGAATTGATATGAAATTTTTCAAGACGATCGATTAAGAATTGTTGCGTGTAGGCGACACACAGACACACAACAAAATGGGCGTGGCTCTGCCCCTGGGGGATGGGCATGCACCCCAAATAATAGAGATGTTCCTTAGGGTACAAAGAATAAGTATGCAGTTTCGAGATGATACGTTTAGAAATCCGGCCTGTAGACGACAAACAAACAAATACAAGAAATGGGCGTGGCTCTGCCCCTGAGGATCGGGCATGCACCAAAAACAATAGAGGTCATCCTTAGGGTATAAGCAATAAGTATGTAAAGATTCAAGATGATCACTTAAGAATTGTGGGCTGTAGGCGACACACAGACACACAAAAAGGAAATAGGCGTGGCTCTGCCCCTGGGGGTTGGGTATGCACCCCAAACGATAGGGATGTTCCTTAGAGTACAAAGAATAAGTATAAGTTTCAAAATGATTAGTTAAGAAATGCGGTCTGTAGACGACGAACAAACAAATACAAAAAAATGGGCGTGGCTCTGCCCCTGGGGGTTGGGCATGCATCAAAAACAATAGGGATCATCCTTAGGGTATAAGGAATAAGTATACAAAGTTTGAAGAAAATCGAGTAAGAATTGCGCCCTGTAGGCGAACCACAGACACACACAGGGGTGACGGCATAATACGTCCACATTATGAATGTGGACGTATAAAAAAGGAGTTTAACGTTCTACTATTCTGATCCGACTGGTCATACGCCATACAGTGTGCTTTGATAGAAATTATACCAAAACAGCGGCACTACGAAATCTCTTGTATGGAATTCCAACCGACAACGGTTCTTTTACACGTGCACGCCAATGTGTACACGGGGCCTCAGTATTTCGTCTCATCTGAACGATTGACTGTAAGTTGTCCCTTGCCAGGCTCTCTGTCCGGCCCTCCATCCTGCACCAATGACAAGAGGGAACCACACCGGAAAATCCGGATAAACTTTCTCAACCAACAGCGGGATAGAACAGGAAACCTCCTGTTTAGCGAGCTAATGTCTTACCAACCAAGCCACCGCAGCTCCCTAGTGGAACGCAGGTGATTCACGATTCGCACTGGAGCTGAAAAAGAATGCTACCACATGAAAAATAGTAAGTGCACAAAACAAACTACTATAAAACAAACCCGTCGTAAGTAATTCCTAATACAAGATATGCATGCATTGATACCATATAGGAGACAATTGATCCACTTATTAGCCAGATTGGCCCCCAGGGCTCCCTCAATGATTGCTCTCTAATTATTAAATTGGCCAAACTTTTAATTATGTGATTGGTTACTTATGTCACATGACTTCGAGAAACTCCTTATATGGACATTCCTAGAACGTATTTTAAACAGTAACAATTTAATATCAGTTTAAATTACCCTCATACAGAACATGTTTATTAAACTATAGATCAGTAACTTATCAAAACAACCTGCATACGTGATATATACCTTGTCGATATATGGGGAACCAATAATCGGCCATAGTGACAATATTGTTACCTTGAAACAATCATATTCATATAAATAGCATAAATCACCTATCTATAGTGTTTATATGTAGTAATGATCGAGAAAGTGGCGTGCAGCAAAATTTATTCTTAAAATAATAATTATATTTTTCTCTCAGAAACGTTTGCTCCAAGTCTTTTTTTAATCTTACATAAAATGGGTCAAATTCTGTCAAGAACAATTTCGGGAATATGGGCCCCGGGCGAACCATGCTTCGTCGCCGTGCTCCACCCCCCCCCCCTTATGTGGTATCAAATTAACCGGATGTCCTACTAGTTGATTCGCTTTACCATAAAGTCTGTCATTGAGTCAACTGGCGTGGTTTCGATTCCCCGGTTGTACGTGACAAGGAGTAGGGTCGCCTGTCCAACCTCGTTGGTTTTCTCCGGGTCCTCCGGTTTCCTCCCACTGCTAAAGACCCCTACGCGCAAGCGAATTATTAAAATAAAATTAAACCATATGTTAGTCCCGAAATGACCTAGTTTGTGTCGAGTGGACGTTAAACTCCTTTTCTCTCTCTCTCTCTACTAGTTGATTCACATAACAAGACTGACTTATGGGAAAAAATGTCAAAGGTACATATTGTTTTTGGCTTCTTTTGCAATTTGTTTTGGGTAAAACTATATCCATTCCCGCCTAAATGAGGTTACCATGTTCATTACATGAGCGAAAAAAAGAGAATCCAACGTTAAAAACAAGGATAATCCTTTATTATAAACTGCATCTATACAGTCTAGTTATAAACTTGTAATTATTAGGAGCATTCAAATTGAAAGTAATTTAATAAGTAAAATACAAGATGACAAACTGGTATTAATGTAATGACAATAGCTGTCTAATAATCAGGCTCTATACTACACGGGGCTGGAACAACTGGTAAGGCTATAATAAGTTTATATCATTCAATATAAGCAAAACAATTTAGAAATGTAAGAAATATAAAATATATATATATATCAAAAAGCTAGAAACTGCAACTTGTCATGAAATACTACATATAAAACATCATATACAGTATAATATACACATACCTAAAAGTAGGAACACCCGATAAGGCTCTAATAAGTTCGTGGCTAGTAGTTGTGTTGTTGTCGTTAGTGTTTAACGTCCGCTTCCACCGAAGGTGATATCGCAGACAAGTCTTATTTTTTGTATTATTATCTTAGCGCAAGCGCCTTTTCCTGTGGGAGGAAACCGGAGTACCCAGAGTAAACCCACGGGGTTGAGAAGGCGCCCCTATCTCCAATCCACATACGCTCACACCAGGTATCGAAACCACAGCCGCGGCACTCTAGACCCCTAGGCCACACCCACCCCATCCCCAGCTAGTAGATAAGTTTCTTGGATTTATATATCCCACGTTGCCAAGTTAAAACTATACATCCTTGTTACCAACTCATTAACAACCTTCCCGGGTTGCTACCTACTACAGGTATACTCTATACTTGAAACTGGTTAATCCTATTAATAAAACAATTGTAATTAACTCCATTGTTTAAAGGATTAACACATCGTTTTGGTTGAATAATTTGTATTTATAAAAGGTGAACAATATAACAGTATAATATTATTTATAGAACACGGACATCACCAGGTAAAGTTATGTCGCCATGGCTACCCACAACTACTACATAATATAATAACATATTTGTAAAACATTTTGTTTATGCTCCTAATACTTAAATTGCCAGTACAACCCTCAAGCTACCTCGAATCCACTTTCTTTTTTAAAAAAAAGAACAGGCATTCAGCTATCTTGTTTTCGTGTACCAGTGGTGTTGGTGTTACCCATATTATAATAACCAGTTTGGTCTCTTGTGTTTAATGTGTCATTAATAGTTGAATCATATATATGTTCATAATCTTGGTCGTTCTGTACAGCGGGAGCCGTGGATCGTTTGCAACTACAAATACATCAGTTATACAATAAAACGGTTATCTAACAAATACTGGATGTATCACGAAGAGAGAGTTTGGTGGGGGATTAGCTGCAATATTTGTAGCGGCGATAATTGTCTTATTCACCGCTACAATTGATACACACTACGAGCCTTTGCGCAACTTTCAATTGCAACATTTTCAACACATATCATCTCAGTTTCCATGGAACTAAGGAATTATGTTACAAATACCGAAGTGAGGAACACTGCTGTTCTAATTCTGGTTCCGCGGATATTTTCAAAACGACAGAAATATCGCGTAGCCGTTGAATGGTTTTAAATTTATGAATTGATGCGGTAAGGTTTCGCCTTTTTTTCAATGGGAATTGATATATTAGAACGACCCACTACTGAGGAAGCATCAGTAGTTGAACCATTTCTAGGGGAGGAATTGTTATTATAGCTCTCAAGAGCTTTACCAACAAAAACTACAGAAACATATTTTAGTTATTTATTGTAGATAATAAATACAGTAGAATATCATTTACCTGTTCCTGTATATCACTATTAGAATGATAATTACAATACTGATCATTACAGCTGTACCCAAAACTCCACCAACAATAGCTGCCACGTTATCATCTGGTGTTGATTCTGTCCAAATATAATATCAATAGTCATTGAACATTCGTATAGTCAATTAAAAACTCAGTAAATTATCTGTTATGAGTTACTGCCTGTCAATCGCTCGATTCCATTATGTCATCATTATTCCTTTTCACCCCACCCCCCTTAACAAGAATTTTATGCCAGCAATGAATTTAATTGCCAGGAAACGCAGGAAGACTTTGGCATCCCATCCCAAGAAAGTGTTGTTTCTATCGTAACTCTAATGTTTAAGACCGAATTGGAAAAAGAACTGTTGAAAATTGTAGCCCCTATAGCGCTAACAAGTTTTCAGAAAAAAGGGGTTAACTGCGGATATCGCCAGGGTTACTCCTCGCACGGAGATACCGTATTAAACAAAGTCTAAATTAACTGTAAAATGGACAATACACTCTGCGAATGTAGAAATACGCCCACTTGTCAGCTATATCCCCCAGAGACAGCAGCTTATCCGAAATGAAATGAAATGAAATGGGGTTTAACGTCCTACTTTTTACATATAATCAATGGAAACGACATTGTCGCAGAGCATTTAATATTGACAGCGATACCCTTCCATATAAACAAGCTTTCAGAAAAATTTGGGTAACTGGGAAACGGAGGGTCGTGGAACACTGGACATTTGTAGGGTTCCTCCTCTTATGATCCTAAAGCTTCGCGAAACATTTAGGAAAATCCCGGAACAGATAGTCATGGAATGCAGAAAATGAAATTGACATTCGACGTCGTCTCACTGCGTCCCCAACGTCTCACACCGCACATTTGATATAAATTCTTTCAATCTTTAACAAGGCTTACGGTAAAGGGGTGCAAATCTGGAACAGAACGTTGCGGAGTATAGAAAATCGGTAAGGTTTGCACTCCTGTGATGCCAATAGTTTACACCAGTTATTGCCCAGGTCCCATTGGGCAAAAATCATCGGCGATGTGAAAATAAACAAATTCCCCCCCGATGGCTCCCGATATTTGTGTCCCCCAAAACGGAAATTATCGCCGATTAAGACCTACTGTGAAAATATTGAAGACACAATGAACAATTTAAATTACGTGTGCGAAGTCGTTTTCTCGAGCGCCTTTTGTAATCGTTGTTAAATCGGTCAGCGTTGAAAGGAAATGTCAAACCGTATACCGATGTAAAATCTCTTGACCAGGACAGAAGTTGACATAACCCATGTTGTATTTATGTAACTTCGATTTTTCTGACCCGAAAATAAATCTCTTTAACAGCAGTATTACAAAACTACATCTTGTTAAACCTGATATTACGCAATACAACGTATTACAAATAATCATAAATTTCTACTTCGATTTTTCTGACCCGAAAATAAATCTCTTTAACAGCAGTATTACAAAACTACATCTTGTTAAACCTGATATTACGCAATACAACGTATTACAAATAATCATAAATTTCTACATACTTGTGAGTTGCCACTGTCCTTTGGTACATTGATAGTCATCATTATTTATATACCTTTCACCCGTTCTATAACAGCGTTCCTCTGTATAACAATAATCGTCCTATAATAGAAGTCGAAATTAATAGATGTGGTCAAGGTTTAAATTGGGGTTTTCCCTAATCTTAATAGATTATTTATGTCCGACCTCTGGTTTAAAATTATTGAGAACAATTTAACACCAATGGCTGTCCGTATTGTTTAAAAGATTGAATGTCAGCGTTCAAACTGGCTACACTTTCAGACAAATCTTGGGCCCGCACAACCAGAGAAGAGACGACCACCGCCTTCTACTGACCTTGACCTTCTTGATTGATCGCGTATTTCACTAAAGGGACAATAGACTCTCTTGTTGGCTTGACAGCTCCAGTAAATAAATATTAACCTTATTCTAAGTATTAGATGTTTAAGTGTCCTACCTGTTGTGTAAATTATCCATTACATCCTATTTTACTTGTCCAGAGGGTTCGAAAATATTTTTAAATCCAAGTCACATTTGAAAAGGTTTACGTTAGGAGTTTCAAATCATTTAGTTGAATTTTTCCAATTTTTTAAATTAGGTGTGTTAAGATGAAATTTGAATACTGTAAAATAGTACAATTTGTTGACCAGAATAAAGATTGGGACATATTATTCTGTTACAACAAGAGTGGTATTGAGCCTTTAATTCCCGGCCTAGTCCGCACTTTTTTTCGTATGCAAATTAGATTCTGGCAGTTTCCATATATGTTCTATTATGCAAACATCCTAAATATATTTGTATGTAATGCAAAATGTAGAGTGTAATGGCAAAATAACTAACACATGGCTCTCTTGTACTGTATTTTGTATTATTGAAAAATGTATTCTGTATTTTTAACACTGTGACATTGGTATTGTGGAGCAATGGAAATTGCAAATGGTAAACATCAACGAAGTACTTTGAACTGCTGATATATGCATTTTGGACCGTAAATATTGAAATAATAATGGCAACGTGACCGGACAGAATAGAGACATATACTTACAAACATCCTACATGTCGCAGTCTCGCCATCAATTGTGCAGTTCATGCAATCAGAATGCATGACAACCACTGTTAAATGTCGACTGAAGATTTCTCCATCATTGGACACAGCTACCCTGTAGCTTTGTACTGTTGCATCTACAACGGGAACAGTTGTTGATCGTTTTTGGCTATTAACAGGTAGTGGACACGTCACTTCTCCAATACTTTCAACAACTGGAGCATTTGTTATCTCTGCTTCTGCGTTTGACTATATTAAATACAAATCAGTTATAAATAGATGTGTCTAGAAATCAACCATTTATTTACTTGTGAACACATTAAATATAAGGGGTGGTCACAACCGGATGTTTACAACTCGATATTGTTAGCAGTGCCCCCCACCCCCACCCCCTGAAAAACTATTTGCCGACCATAGCTCTAAAATACCTACTGTAGACTGTGTCCCCCACCCCCCGTTAGCGATGATTGTGTTTACTTTTTATGGGCGTTGTCAGGTTAAATACACATTACTGGTTTAAGTTTTGATTATAGATAATAAATATAAGATGTGGTCACAACCGGAAGTTTACAATATCATTGTTAGTGATGACTGTGCTTACGTTTATTGGCGTTCTCATGTTAAATCAAGGCTATTATTGGGTCTCGTGCTAAATCAACGCTATTGGTTACGTTTTAATTACAGATAATAAATCGTTAATACATTATTTTTTTTTATTTAATAACATAAATTTTATCTTTATATTAAAATAAAATTAAATTAAACAAAAAGACTTAAGCTAGCAAATCCAAAATTATACCTCTCTAGGCCGAAAATTCGCTGAGATATGGCCATTTGAAATTAGGGTACTGAAACGGATCACAAATTCAGGAATTTTTTTCAGGTTTTCGGGTGCTTTAAACTCACATTTCTAATAGAAGTAAAACTCTCCAACTTTTTAATCGAAGACAATTTTTGGTGTAGAATTTAGCATCAAAAGCAATGTGCGATTCACTCCTGCTTTGATTGATAAGGTACTTTTTAAAATGAAGAGCATGAAATATGAACTGGCTGTAAAGTCTGTAATATGACATTTGGCGTTGCTTTTCCCCAGGAGGTCGGACATGGGCCAATATAAATAGGTAAATAAATAAGTACAACCCTATAATGGATCATACTGAATTGGATCCAAACCTGTTAATAAATGCACCCTGTATATCATTTACATACAAAATATTAACATAGGCATATCACCACCAAGGGGGCGGGGTGTGTGTGTGTGTGTGTGTGTGGGGGGGGGGGGGGGGGGTTCATGCACTAAAATCAATAGTTGCCGTCCATAGGGTATAATGAATAAGTATACCAATTTCCAAAATAATTCATCCAGAATTGTGGCTTTTAGACGCTAAACACAAAAACTGGGCGTAGCCCTGGCCCTGGGGTTGAGACATGCACCAAAATCAATAGTTGCCGCACTCAGGCTATAAGGAATACGGGGGATCACGTGGCTAAGTAGGTAAGACGCTGGCTCGCTAGCCTGGAGGTCGGGTGTTCGATCCCTGCATTGGATGCAGGACGGAGGGCCTGACAAGGACAGCTGTCTAGTCGTTCGGATGGTACGAAAACCCGAGGTCCCGTGTATACATTGGCGTGCACGTTAAAGATCCCTTGGCAGTTGGAATTCGATATAAGAGTGGGCGATAGTGCCGCTGCCCGGGCAAAATTTCCCTCATAGCCCACTGTATGGCATATGCCCGTCTTCATTAGCCCAGTTTAGGAGCAGAACAGTAGGACGTTAAACCCCATTTCATTTCATTTCATTTCTATAAGGAATACATGTGCCAAGTTTCAAGATGATCCATTCAGTATACGATAAACATAAAAATGGACGTGGTCCTGCTCTGGGAGTTGGGGCATGCACCAATTAAAAATGCACAATTGAAAAACAACTTGACGTCATAATTTTACTGCATATACAACATGACGTCAGAAATTGCTAAAACTTTATGGGCTTCTTCTTTATCTTATGACAATTATAACAAATTGTTGACGGCAAACGCACCGTCTGGGCGACAGACGCCCTGACCTGCAATATGTCGGTAATATGATCAATGACTTATGGCTAGTTGAACAAATCCTGGAAAACGCATAGTGTTTCTTAAGATTCGGTAATACGGACAATAAGTCCGTGAAACGAATTTCGCTATAACTAGCCCAGCCATTCGAAAAGAACTATCTGAAAGATAACCTGTAACCGCGTTAATGAACTGTAGATAGACGGACATGGATGACGACAACATAATTCCGAATTATATAAATTCTTATATTAATGCGATAAATAGATCTCCGAACCTCGAGCGGCATCAGTCGGCATTTAAATTTGTCAGATTCTACAAAAGGTCCACCAAATACTGCAATCTCTTCACAACTGTCATCTTTGCGATCACAATACCCGTTCGCTTCCAGACTATCGGCCAGAGGTGGTTGAGTTAGATCAACAGAACAATCTGGTCCTGAATAACCATCATTACAATCACAGATACCTGTTGATTACACAAATTGTTCATGTAGACTAATTTTTTAAAAAACATATGCTTAAGAGACAATCTGCCAGAATAAGAGTTACATATGAAAAGTCCAGGGGAAGAACGATTTAAGTCACATTTTTATCTTTTCGCATAAAACACAAAACATACTTTTGGACGAGAATGCTTGACGCGAAAAGAACAACGAGTGAGTTTAATAACAACAAAATGATGTTTAACATGAACCATAATTACCAGTACTGACTTCAACTTTTCAGCCAAATTAAGGTCAAATAAAGGGCCCGATGGATTTGTATTTGTCCAGGAGGACATTTAAGAAGGGCCTTGGTTCGATGTGACTCCAATCGTGTTTACCTGAAATTGATTGTTCCACAGAAAGCGTATACAATTTGCTACCAGATTTCGCTATTAACTGGGGTTCGTTGAAAACGTGACTTAGATCGTTTTTCCCCTGGACTCTTCATATGGAATTTAAGAGCATTGTGTTCAAAAATTATTCAAATTTATTGACAGAAAGGGAGATAACTCATTTTTTAAAATTGGTGATGGATTTCCCAAATTCCGTATGTTCCCTTGTCCATTATATTTTCTGCATGGTGTAAGTCAAAATTTAACCAATACTCTATTTTTTGCCGAGGATGAATGCATCGCATGATTGACACTCTCGGGATTTCTGTTCCGGGTGTTTAATGTATAGTTTATTTAGCAGACTTGTCTGTGTAAATTCAAGATTTTATATCACTAGTAAGCACTGGATATCTATTGAATGTTTCAATTCCCATAGCCTTTGGTGAAAATATAGAGTTTGGTTGGGGTTGCATTCTGTCACATTTGATATCCTTACAGATATAATCGGAGATTCAATTTCTGAAAGTTCAAACCATACACAGCTACAACAGCCCTGTACGATAATTTAATCAACTGAATACACGTTCTTACCATTAACACAGACACCTCTATCTGAACACTCTGCAGGACAAGCTACAGCTTTGACCATTTCTAACACTGAAGGTTTGTCTGGACTAGTTTCCTGCCGAAGAGTAACATTCATTCTAGCCTCACGTAAACACTGACTTCTTATAGAGTTGATAGCAGCCAAAGAAAAATTTGAAGTTCCACTTAGCTTAAATTCAAAATAAAACCAAGAATATGAATAAGAAAAGCAGTGATAAACGGAATAAACGGCAGACCGTGAAATCAAGTTAGCCTGTTTCGTCCATTCCAAATGTAGAGCTTTGTTTTGATAATGTGGTATTGCCAACGAATAATTAATGCCCCTTTTTTACGTGGGCTACGAATGCCACGACTAGCCCCGAATAAAAACTTTTTCCGATTCGTAGGTAAAGCGTAGACGACTCGTGAAGTTCGTAAGCGATTTTTCAAACAAAACCTTTCGTGGCTAGATTTCATATGGGCTACGAATACAACGAATCGACTCCAAACATTTTCTTATTCGTAGATAAATCGTAGACAGTTGCTGAAGTTCATGGGTGGTTCTTATTTAGTTCTTACACATTCGTATGGTTCGTAGCAGTTCGTAGTTCGACCACAAAAGTTTTTGTTTATCAAAACATTTCGTGGACGGTCTATGAATTTCGGAATTCGTAGATGTATCGTAAACCCGTCGCAGCCCTTTCTTATCGTCCGTAACAGATTCATATTCGATTCATTTTTGTCCAAACGTGGCAAAAACGTGCTAATAAAATTTTTGCCATAATTTTGCCAAGTTGTAACGTGGTAAAAACAAAATGCCACGTTTGTCTGGAGTTCCAAAACGTATTTTTTTTTTAAATTGCCATGTTTTTGGAACGAGGTATTTTGTCCAGAACGAGGCTGATCACAAGGTTGGATACACGATTTTTGAAAAGGGTTGGGGGTGCGGTTCAGCCAATGCACATAGCAGCAGTAGGAATTTGAACAAATTGTAGTATGGTTGAAATTTGAGCTGGTGAAATTAAATGAAATGAAATGGGGTTTAACGTCCTACTGTTTTGCTCCTTGAGCTGGTGAAATTATTTAGATATCAGATAATGAAAAACAGGAGAATGGCATCACGCTATTCCTACCTACGTTCAAGTATACACATAAATGCATAGTTAAAACTAAATAATGTATAGATCCTTTCAATACCCAGTTACACATTTGTAATACGGGGTTAAGTCATAGAATAATTATATAAAATACGTCCAAAAGTGTATAACCTATTGAATATAACAAAACTGAACGAAAAACGAATCTTAAATTATCCTAGATACTTTGTTTGGGTTATGTAAACAATTATGAATCTGCACAACAAAAGGGCACTATACTATGCATTAAATGATGGATTAGACTATGGATCTGGAATCATGAATTTTAATTAATAAAAGATAGATTATGGAAGATTAGATAAAGAGCTGACAGTTCTCACAATAAAAGTTAAATAAAAGATGATGTAACGGGAATATTCTGAAAATTTCAGTAAAATTACTTTACTCTAAGCCGAGAAATATTTATTTTAAAAACCCTGTGGCCTCGATTGTCATTATTGTCGTTGTGACGAAAAAAAAAAAAATCTCCATTATCCATTTTTGCGTATAATCATCAATGGCTGTTGAACGGTAGATCGGATTCAAATCTAATGAAAATAGGAAGCATCAGATGGCATCGAGTGTTGATTATGGTCCTGTCATGTTAACTAATGTCTAATTAATAGTTTATATAACATTTCAGGCCTAAAGAACGACCTGCAATAGGCTGATTTAGCTCTTGCATAATGTATGTTTAAGTTCCTGCTTACCCGAATATCACTAACACAACTTGCCATTGGGGATGAAGCATCGACACCAGGAACCTCTTTACACAGATTAACCAAATTTGAAGAGTTAAAGAGCTTATCACAATAGTCCATAGCAGACTCATTGGTCCATCCATTCTTCCAACTTACATCCTGTATAAAATGAAATGAAATGGGGTTTAACGTCCTTCTTCTACTGGGTTAATGGAGACTGGTATACGCCATGCAGTGTCCTATAGGGGAAGATTTTGCCAGGACAGCTGCGGTACGACCTACTCGTATTTCGAATTCCAACGGTAAAGGGTTCTTTTATGTGCACACCAATGTGTACACGGGACCTCGGTTTTTCATCTCATTCGAATGACTATACGTTGCTCTTTGCTAGGCCCTCCGTCCTTCATCGCTAACATGAACATGAGGGGACCAGGCCGGGAGAGCCCGATGAACTTTCTCCATCAACGATGGGAACGAACACGGTACCTCCAGGTTAGGGGGCTAAAGTCTTATTCACTGAGCCACCTTGAGCGATTAAGAGATATACATGATTTTACACTTGGATCTACTTCAATGTTCTTAAATCAATTAAAGAATAACACACGAAATTTGAAACTTCACACGGTGATTCAGAATTAATGTTTACAAATTGTATGAAGTCGGATACACTCACCGGGTGCAGTAGGAATTTATTGTTTTTTCAGATATGACGTATCTGCTATATCAGACTCTGTGGAAGCGGACGTTAAACAATAATAGAAGAAGAATACAAAAAAAAACATACTTTATAAAAAAAACAATTTATGTGTACTTTACCCTTTTAATTCGTCTATGATTCTCGGGGTGGTATATTATTGTGGGTATCGATCTCTTCTTACGGACTGGTGAAATACAGCGTTTCTTGTGAACTTTTCTAAAACCTTCATCCTCATTACATGTAACTGGTTCGTTATATGGTGAACAGTCGATTTCATTTGTGACGCCGCCAGTACCCACCTGATTGCATTTACATGTGGTATACTTATGAGACCAAGCATTGAGCATACCCAAGTTGTCTGTATTAAACATATCTTCATCAACAGGAGTCCTAAAAATATTCAAATGAATATTAACACAGAGATCATTGCTACGATAGATGCGTAATGCAGGTTTCAATAATCGGAAGTGACGAACGCAAAAAGAAAACACGAGTTATCTCTCCACATAACTGACTGAAGTGACGAGTGATAACAGATACATGGGCGAATTTCTACTCACTAATAATTCCTTTGAATACCAATAGTTGTTGTGTGAGACTGTGCGGGGATATCTGACAATTCATAAAAAGAATTGACTGTCACTAGATAGAGAACACGAAAGAAAAATAGAAAAGTCCTTGCATTACCATGTTTTTTATTAAATATAGAATGAACAAAAACAAGGGAATGTAATGCAGGTTTCAATAATCGGAAGTGACGAACGCAAAAAGAAAACACGAGTTATCTCTCCTTATACCCATACTTTTTCTCGACTCTTTGATGAAAATGGGAGGGTATACACCGATACACGGCCACTAGTTGAAAAGTGGCCGCGTATCAGTTGAAAAGTGACAAAAATAACAAAATCATGATTTACATATTTATTTGAACATCTACAACCCGTTTTGAACATGTTATGGTAAAAGAGTCATCATTTTCAACTGTCTCGGCACTTTTCGAATGTGCGTCACTCTCAGTCAGATTCTTACATTTTGTCTCACATTTCTTTACATTTTGATATCTAGTCGCACTTTCACATTATTATATTACCCATAGTTTGTGAAATTTTATTTTGTATTTACAGATATCATATGGTATATTATGCAAATAACGTTTAATATTTAGCATCGCATAGAATATTTATACGTTCTCTTCCTCGGGGCTTTGATTATTATGTTATTATCATTTATCACTCAATACATATGGTATTAATATTGTCTATTGCTTATCATCAACTCACTTACTACAAACGTTTCCCGGTTATATAGAAGAAATCATTGAAGGCATACTGGTAAAAACAACTCAATTTGATGATAATATTTTACTTACTTCCAAGAATTCATGAAAAATTCTTCGTCAGTGGTTGTACTTCCACTCCTTAATACTAATTCATTTTGTTGTGTGTAATCCAAGCCTGTTAACTCACCACACAGCCCTCTACTCACACCGACATCTATCACGGACGGATACATATATATATTCAGGTATGGGTCAGTGTTTGCAACCTCAGTACGTATTTCAAGATGTGCACCTGTTGGTAACATAATCTGAAAATCCATATACAATCGCTAATAATTTATGCACAAAATATAGAAACAAATTGTTTAAAGGTTCTTACTTCAGATATCATTATCTCGTTCGCTTAAATCTATATAAATAAAATGGTATCAATAAACCGTCTGTCATTTTAATGAACTGTATCAGATTGGTATGCGATTAATACGGAATTATGTCTGTAATTTCAGCCTTGGATTCGACTGTCGAATTTTACCAGGACAGACGTTGCAATCGTGGGACAGTACATAAACATTATAAATATATACCTTTACCTTGTAACCAAAATTTAATACACCGAAAAAAACTCTTGTGTTGGATTTCAACACAGGGACTTTTGTTAAAAATATTCTACACAAGCTTGTCGTGTAGTTTTACATTGCATTAACACAAGTTTGTGTTCTTTTCAAATACTTAACACAAACTTGTGTAGATTTACAAAATCTTGTGGGGTTTTTTCCTACAATTAATTACGTCGAATTTTAAGATAGATTTATTAAGTCACTTTATTATCTGTAATAATCTGATTCGTTTTTACAAAAAATAACCAATCAATATTGTTATTGAGAAAATCTGAATGGGATTTGGAAACTGGCTTAATCTATGTAAAACACCTCTTTCTCAATTTAATTGATTTCCATTTTAACTTGATTTTTAGAGTATTTGTATTTCTCTAAAACCTTATATTAATTATCACACACTTTAAGTAGAGCTCGCAGTGTTTTTTTAATTAGATTATTCTGATTATATACTCTGTTTATTTTCACATCTTGGCTTAGACAATACACAGGCACAGTTAGGTTATTACAATGTCTGCACTTATTAGAGGTTGATTATATTGGCTCAATAAACTTGATACATCAAAGAAAATTCTCGGAGGATGAGAAAATTAGAACAATAATGTGATATTTAGGTTTTAGAAAATGTCTGAATGGGCGTGGAAAAAACTGAGTTAATCGTTTTATTCATTTCTATTGTTTTATTAATCGAAATCGGAAATTTATTGCTTAACTGTAAAAGAACCAATCAAAAGAAATTACTCTATAAAAAAGTAAGAAATGTTAATGACAGTTTGTCTGCGATATAACCTTGGTGAAAGCGGACGTAAAATACAACTGACACAGTATTTGGCGATTTCACCGTGGAATCGTGTTCTTAAGCGTTGTGGTAATTTCTTCCTGGATAAGTATCGATTAATTACATAGTTGAGCGGCATTGTTAGAACCAACCCCAACAGAGATATTTTTTTCAACAAAGTATGCAGAGAAAACAAGAATATGAGGTTTGCTATATGTTTTAATCAAATGTAGCCTATTTGTAATGCAAATTTAGAATTAATATTTTTCGTTTCGGTTAAAACCCTAAACAACTATATACACTATTTTTATTTGCCGAAGGACGTATGGTTTTGGCGGGCAAACTGGTGATCAAACAATAAATTTCGAGGTATTTCATAATTGTGTTTCTATGTGATTAATTATTCAAATAATCATTCTTGGGATGCTCCAGCCAGTCCTGAAATGCAATGTTTGTTTTGCGTTCTGTTGTTCTCTGGACGCCATTTTGAAAAACAGACATGACCTACATACAACTGATTGTGTTCCATTTTTCAGATTGCAGTAGATTTTAGCAATATAATGCAGCGATAGTGCAATCTAATTGCTTTAAAAGAAAATCTGAATTCGGGCAAAGACCAACAATAAAATCCAGGTGATTAGTGAATATTATTCATGTATTTTCTTTATGAAGGGTAGCTATTTGTAAATGCCCAGTCGTCTTGTCTTAGAGAAATAATAATTCAAACTTCAAATCAGTATTCTATTTATCCAATTGCATAATAATAAAAACTTGAACATGGAGCATTGGTAATTGCCTTGTATCACTGCATATATGAGGTAGTTATATCCAAAAGAGAGAGAAATCGGGTTTAAAGTCTACTTGACACAAACTATGCCAAACATGTAGGCCTACTTGTATTAAATTGGTCGAATCAAATACCGTAGTTCCATGCTAATTTTTATATGTCTTAGAATCAAGTTCGACGGTTCCGTTTCCGCCCTCTTTCCCTACACTGCCTCATTATGTTACCATCTTTGTATGTTGTGTTATATTAATTATACATAAAACTGGATTTGTTGTTGGTGTTTGTTGGATAGGTAATTTATCTATTACTGGCGCTAGGTAATTTATCTATTACTGGCGCTAGGTAATTTCGGGACTAACATAAGGTTCAATTCCGTTTGATTGAAAACCCAGGAGGCTGGAATCGAATAAAAGTATGGGCTATTTCAAATATATTTGCATGTAAAGAACGTATAGACGTAAATATTACTAGCCAAAAAACTGGATTCCCTTAAACCAACAATGGGGCATGCACAGAACAAAAATGTAAGAGTTTCACAAATTGGCCGTCGAACCGTGACAGGCGTGCTACAGCCTACGAATTTCAACTACCAAGGTATCGATTACATTTATGTGGAAGCAAATGTGTACACGGGATCTCGCTTTTTTGCCACTGAAACAACTAGACAGCCGTCCTTGTCAGGCCCTCCGTACTGCACCTCTGACAAGGGGAAACCACGCCAGAAAATCTAGATGCGCTTTCTCGGTGGAAACTGGGAGTGAACCTGCGACCTCCAGGCTAGCGACCGTGACAGCCCAGTCACTGACAAACAATGGTTGATGAAATGGAAGTTTACGGCTTAGGTAGTTACTCAGGATTCTACAGGTCGCAATTTTTATCCGATTTTGACGAAACATGAAACAAGGTCTATCTCCCAAAGATCTCGGTTCCTCTCGATATTGGCATGTATCGGACCGTAACTGCATGGATTATGGCCCCTGATTGTACGACAAATCACATTTTTAGCTTGTGGCCCTATAGAGGTCACAATTTTTATCCGATTTCAAAAACCGTTTTAGTATATCACCGTTACACCCTAATGATGGATGCGTTCGAATTTCGTGAAAATCGGATTAAAACTGCCGGACAAAATGGCCACCCCTTGTACGCAAATGGTGTAAAAATATGGTATATCAAGGTTGTGGGCCCTCTAGAGGTCACAATTTTCATTCGATTTTGATGAAACTTGGAATGCATGTTTATTTCCCAACGATCTTGGTTCCTTTCGATATTTGCGCATATCGAATTGTACCTTCCTGAGTTACGGCCCCTGATTGTACGAAAAATCGCGCGTTTAGCTTGTGGTCCCTCTAGAGGTCACAATTTTTATCTGATTTACCAAAACGTTTTGGTATATCACCGTTACACCCTAAAAATAGTTGAGTTCGAATTTCGTGAAAATCGGACCAAAATGTCGGACAAAATGGCCACCCCTTGTACGCAAATAGTGTAAATATCTGGTATATCAAGGTTTTGGACCTTCTAGAGGTCACAATTTTGATCCGATTTTGATGAAACTTGAAATGCTTTTTATAACCCATAGATCTTGGTTCCTTTCAATATTCGGGCATATCGAATTGTAACTTCCTGAATTATGGCCCTTGATTGTACGAAAAATCGCGTTTTGAGCCTATGGTCCCTATAGAGGTCACAATTTGTATCCGATTTAAAACAAAACCTGTGAATACATCACAGTTATAGACTAATGATGGTTGAGTTCGAATTCGTGAAAATCAGACTAAAACTGACGGACATAATGGCCGCCCCTTGTACGCAAATAGTGTAAAAATATGGTATATCAAGGTTGTTGACCCTTTAGAGGCCACAGTTTTTATCCGATTTGGGTGAAACTTTAAATATATGATTTTATCATAAAGATCTTGGTTC